TTTCAAAGGGTTTTCCACTGAATACTTGGTGCAAACAAAGCCGGACCTGAGACCATTATGTAAAACAGATGGCAGCTAAGCTGGTTGGGGTTGGGGCAAAGGGTGCGTGTTGAAGCAGCGTGGCCACGGCCCGGCGCGTAGGGCCAGCTCGCAGGCGGTCAGGTTGGCTGAAGGCGAGGTGAGGGCTCAGCGCGGCCAGACAGGGCTCCTCCTGGGGACTCCCTGGGGCTGTGCTGGGAAAGGGGGGGCTCAGAGGCAGGAGGAGGGGCTGCTTGCAGAGCAGGAATGGCGGGACCCCCTCCAGGTTGGGGCGCGCGTGCTGGGTGGGCGGGGTACGAGGGTCCTGGCAGGAGCTGCTGCCGTGGGCTGAGTACATGCCATGGAGGAGCTATTTCGGGCGGATCCCCTGCGTTGGGGACAGATGGGACGTGGGGCGAGAAGGGAGGCAGGCGGGTGGGAGGCGGTGCCTGCCAGGGAGGCGGTGCCTGGCCACCCAGGGGATGGGGTGGGCAGTGCCCCTGCCTCACATTCTGCAGGCCATGGGCCACCTGACCAGAGCGGTTGCCGTCAGAGCACCCGGCTCTGGGCTGGACGGGGCCGGTCTTGTTGGACCACAGGCCTCACTGGACCCTTCCAGCACCTGCCCGCGTCCCAGGCTGGGCCCCTCCCAGGTGCGCCTCCCGCGCACCCTCCCCGCGCAGGTGTGCAGCCTGTGGTCAGGGCTGGGTTTCCTTCTGAGCCCGCAGGCCAGCCGCCCAGCGCCTATATTTAACCAGTTTAATGAGATTCTATCCAGTAATTCCTGAAACTGGTAATCTCTAATTGGGTCAAACGCTCTACCACGGCCAGGGCTCTATTTTTAGCTCAATCCTCAGCTGCAGCTCCTGCTCCCGGCAGCTGTCAGCGGGGCTCCCGTGCGCGCCAGACCTTGTTTCCAGCTCACCTGGTGCGAGTGGGGGCGCCCCTGTCGCCTGCCCCCCAGGTGGTTGGCACAAATCCATTTGGTGCCGGTCAGCTTAGGGCCCCAGTGTCACCATAAGTAAGAGGCTGTGGCCAGCTTTGGGGAGCTGTCTTTGTTCTCAGGGAAAGGGGGTGCTAAGCGTGTCTTTTATGAACATCCCTGGGGGTTCACAGAGAACCGTGCCCTGGCCTCATGCAGCCCAGGGACCCCGCTGCAGGGGCCAGGCCTGTCTGTGCTTTGCCTGCTCACGGCCTCTCAGTGGCAGAGCACCCCCTCCCCCCCAACCCCCACGCCACCCGACAGCACCCACATGGCCTCCTCCCGGGACCCTGTGCACCCTCAGCCACGACTGGCATCCCTGCCTCCTGCGGCCACTTGTCCCCCCAGACGACACAGCAACCTCCCCAGGGCTCCGCGCCAGTGGCTGATGGAGCCTGTGGCTGGGTGATTCCAGGCCGAGAAACACGTTGAGAAAGTGAACTTGACCGAATGCGGTTCCCTGTTGAGTATCATCCACCCCTTTCCCGCCTCCACAGACCCAGTCAGTGCGGGGACCTGGGGTGGGAACTCCCGTTGGAGGCAGGTCCCGGCTGACGAGGAGGGACCAGGGAGCTGCCCGCAGAGTGGCGTCCCGGCCGCGGGGTCTCCAGGCGCCCGACAGCCACAGCAGCTCCGGAGCTTCAGTGCCGCCACTGCCCAGTGCCGCCACTGCCCTGTGCACGGGGCGTGCCCTGCCCCTCCTCCCGCGAGACCCTGTGAGCCAGTCCTCGGGGGAGACGAGGCACCGAGAGGCCGAGTCACCTGCCCAGAGTCCCCAGCGGGGACACGAGACTCAGGTCTCTACCCAGCCACGACCCGTGTCCCCTGCATGGCCTGCCCACCATCCAGGACGCTCACTTGCTGTCGGAAGGCCCAGGCCCTCAGTTGTGACACAAGGACACACACGAGGTTGGCAATGACGGGAAGTCCCAGGGCCGCCGGGGCCACAGGCCGAGCTGTCCACGGACTCGGGGTGCCGAGAGCAAAGTGCACGCGTGGTCTCCGCAGGTGACCGGAGGCCGCCTCCCGCCCCGCAGGACCTGATGGGACAGTGACGGTCCGCAGTCTGCTCAGCGCTGAGGGGGGGAGGCCTGTGCGGCCCTTTGCTGTGGGTTGGTGTTCACCGTCCGTCACACCAAAGGCGTCCAGGACGGAGCAGGCACTGGGGGCCCAGGACACGGGGCTCACACCACAGACCCTCTGTCCCCGCGGAGGCTGACGTCAGAGACCAGGTGTGGATGGGGCCGCGCCCTCTGACGGCCCGGGAGGGCCTGTGCCGCCCGTGGCAGCGTCGCTCCGGTCTCCACCGCCTTCAGGGTGTCCTGTCCCCCGAGGCCCCTTCGTGAGGACACAGTCACGCTGGACGGGGACCCCCTGCTCCAGTGCGACCCCATCTTACCCGCCGTGGCCACCACCTTGGAAAAGCAAGGTCACGTCCTGAGGTCCCGGGGTGAGGGCCTCAGCGTATGAATTTGGGGGACACCGTTCGGCCGATGGTGAGTGCCTGCCCCGCCTCTGGGGTAACCTCCCCGTTGTCCTGGCTGCCAACTGCCCTTTGGGGGCTTCTCCGTCCAGCCCGGCGAACGGGGAGAGGAATGTGTCACAGGGCAGGTCCCCCCCATGGGGACAGACGGCCCCCCCCTCGATGGGGACAGATGGCCATCCAGGTGAGCCACGGGGTCGGGGTCAGGGCTGACCTCATCCCGGGCTCTGGTCATTCTGCCTGTGACAATGCATGACCCCCCCCCCCCCCGCCTCTGCTTCTCTCTCCACAAAAAGAGGGGGTCGACCTCTGTCCGAGGCCATGGGAGCAAACAGGACGACACATGGTGACCGTGGCCCCACAGGCCGGAGCTGCGTGAGGACAGCGTGCGTGGCCCGGGGCGCAAGCCCCAGCAAAACCGTCACAGGCTCTTTGGAAAGCAGGTGCCCACCTGCCTGTGAAGGTTGGGGGGGGGGGTAGGGATCTGTGACCTTTCCCCCAGTCACTTCATGGCGGCCTTCTGGGCATGTCGTCCGATCCAGCTTTTATTTTATTATTTTATTTGTATTGATTTCAGAGAGGAAGGGAGAGGGAGAGAAACACTAATGATGAGAGAATCAGTGACTGGCTGCCTCCTGCACACCCCCTACTGGGGACTGAATGGGCATGTGCCCTGACTGGGAACCGAACCCTGACCTCCTGGTTCATAGGTCGATGCTCAACCACTGAGCCACGCTGGCCAGCCGGGCTGATCCAGTGGGGCCATCACTCAGCTTTAGGACACACAACACACCCACCGTTTAGCCAGGGCACCCGCGGGAATAGTACCTAACACCCCACAGACCTTGCTACCATCAGGGACACGCAGGGGATGTGATGGAAGGTGGCGCTTTGCCACAAAGCGGGGTGGGGCCCCGGTCCACCCTACCCTCCAGGGACACCAGTTCCAAGAGGGGATGGAGCCCTGACCGTAGGGAGTGGTGGGTGGAGGATTAGGGACCCAGGGCGGGAAGGGGGCGGGGCCGGGGACCCCACCCACTTGCTGCTGGGAGCTGCTGGGACAGGGAGTGGACAGGAGTCCTGGCCTGGGTAGAGGCTGAGGTGCCATCTCTACGACAGTCAGAGCTGACCGTGGCCATTTTTGTTGTTGGTAATCCTCATTAGAGGACATTTTCCCACTGATCTTTAGAGAGAGTGGAAGGGAGCGGGGAGACAGAGAAGCATCAGTGTGTGAGAGACACATGGATGGGTTGCCTCCCGCATGCGCCCCGACCAGGGCCAGGGATTAAGCCCGCAACCGAGGTACGTGCCCTTGACCGGAATCGAACCCGGGACCCTTCAGTCCGCAGACCGCCGCTCTACCCGCTGTGCCACACAGGCCAGGGGGCTGTGACCACTTTGGAGCTTCTACAAACAGGGCAGCGTCCTGCGCTCACCTAATCCTGAGCCGGGACCCTTGAGCTTCTCCTGAAATTCCCGCCCTCAGGTCCACAGCCCAGGGGGTCCCTGGGCGCCCCAGTGAGGCCGGAAGGGGGCGGGGAAGGACCCCGGTGGGCGGCCCCCTGGTCTCTGGTTCCAGGGGCCCCGTTCCCGGTCCCTCTACCAGAGGCGCCAGGGCAGGGCCTGCGCCGAGTCCCGCCTCTGCGCCCTCCCGGGGCAGCCCCTACCCTGGGGTCCTCTTGCTCGCGGGGCAGAGCCACCCACCAAGGGCGGCAGGAGAACCAGCAGCTCGGCCTGAGCCCTTCCCTCCTGGGCTGAGTGTGAGCGCGGCCACCGGGCACCCCGCATTGGTCTCCCCTCCACTGGGGTTCCAGCTCCCCCTCAGGGCGAACTGCAGCGCCCCTCACTGTACTGTTCCCCCCCCCCCCCCCCAGCCTCACACCGGCTTCCTAACCCCTGGCTCCAGGGCCCTCCCCTGGCTCACACCCGCCCGGGCCGCGCTCCTGGAGACCTCAGCACCCCCTCCCCCCGTCGCCCATCCCCCCATCCCGCCCCCCCCCCCCATCGCCCGCCGCCACCCTCCTCCCGTCGGGTCCTGGGCGTCGCTTCTGGGGCTCGCAGGACCCTGGGCGCGGGCAGCACCTCGTCATACGGGGAAACGCGCCCGGAGGATCCACCCGTGGGAACGGCGCGGGATTCCAGCGCGTTTAACGCCCAAGGGACGCTGCAGGGCACCCACCGCGCGAGCGGGGAAACGCGCCGCAAAGCCGGGGCCTAAGGTCACGCGACCCGCCCGGCGGCGAGGGCGCGGGGGGCGAGGAGGGGACGCGCGGGGGCCGTGCGCGCCCGGCCGGCGGCTCGGGACGGGCTGTCGCGTCGGCACCGCGGCGGCGGGAGGACCCGGCGGGGGCGCGGGGCGCCAGTGCGCAGGCGCGGCGGCGGGAGGGGACGCGCTCGGGGCGCGCGCGCGGGCAGCCGGCGCCCCATCTCGGCCCGCCCGCCGGCGTCTCGCCGCCCGCCCGCCCGCCCGCCCGGCGCCCCGGCCGGCGAGGGGCGCGCCCGCTGCATGGCGCTGAGATGGCGGGGGCGCCGCGCGGCCCAGGCGGCCCAGGCGGAGGCGGCGGCGGCGGCGGCGGAGGCGCGGGCGAGCCGGGGGGCGCCGATCAGACGACCGGACCCCGCGGCCGGCGCGGGCTGCGGGCGTGCGGCGAGGAGTTCGCGTGCCCCGAGCTGGAGGCGCTGTTCCGCGGCTACGCGCTGCGGCTGGAGCAGGCGGCCGCGCTCAAGGCGCTGGCGGTGCTGAGCCTGCTGGCGGGCGCGCTGGCGCTGGGCGAGCTGCTGGGCGCGCGGGGCGCGGCGCGGGGCCTGGCCGGGGGCTCTCACCCCGTGCACTTCGTGCTCTTCCTGGCGCTGCTCGTGGCCACCAACGTGCGCGCGCTGCCGGCGCCGCGGCTGCAGCAGGTCGGGCGTCTGGCGCTGCTCCTCAGCCTCACCTTCGCGCTGCTCGGCTGCCCCTTCGCGCCCGGCGCCGCCGGGGTCCCCGCCGGGGCGGCCGCGGACCAGGGCGTGTGGCCGCTGCTCCTGGTCACCTTCGTGGCCTACGCGCTGCTGCCCGTGGGCGGCCCGCTGGCCGTCGGCTTCGGGCTCGCGGTGGCCGCCTCGCACCTGCTGGTCACGGCCACCTTGGTGCCCGCGCGGCGCCCGCGCCTCTGGAGGACGGTAAGCGCCGCGCCCCTCGGGGCCGGGACCCGCCCGCTCGGGAGGGCTGGGCGCTGGGAGCCGGGCGCGCGTCTCTCCCGTGGGCCGGTGGGGACACGGAGGCCCCGGCGGGGGGCGCGTTCAAGGTCACTGGGGAGTCGGGGACCAGGGGGGCCGGCACCCCGGGACTGGGCTCCTTTCCGAGTCCAGCGTGCCGCCGGGTGTGGAGCCGGAGACGGGAAGCCGCGCGGATAGCCAGGACCGCCCCAAGGTCAGGCGGCGGTGGGCGGCCCCGCGGGGCTGGAGCCGGGTCCGCCGCCCTCGAGGCGCGCATCCCCGCGGGAGGGACGCGAGTGGGTGCGGAGCGGGGTCTGGGCGGCAGGGTTCCTCCCGGGCTGTGCGCGCGGCCCCGGGCTCCGCGCCTGTGTGCACCCCGGGGCACAGAGTCCCCTCCCAGCCCTGAGGCCGGGAGGGGGACCCTCTCGGGTCCTGAAGGGCGGGGGTTGCGGAGGTCGCGCACTGGCTGCCTTTGGCTCGAGGGTGTGGGAACCGGAGGGGTGGGGCAGGGGAGGGGAGGGGGTGAGGAGGGGCAGGTGGTCGGACCAGACAACCCGTGGGGGATGGGAGCCAGTCAGCTGGGGGGGTGACAGAGAGGCGCCCCCAGACCCCATGCCCTGGGCACACGTGGTCACAGGACCCTAGGACCCAGTGGAGGGACACGATTCTGGACCTGAATTCAGGGCCCGGAAAGGGGGCGGGGCTGGGAGGGCGGGAGGATGGCGACCTGGAGGGGCTGGGGGGAGAGGAGGAGAACTGGGGGTGAGGCAGAGGGCAGGGGAAGGGCCAGGGCTGCTACCGGGTGCGTGGGGGGTGTTGGACCCCTGAGGGTGAGAGAGAGAGAGAGAGCGCGCGCGAGAGCCCACGAGCCCGGGGAGGAGGCTGGGAGACAGGTGTGCAGGCTGTGTCTGCCTGTGGGCAGGTTGGCGAGGTGCTGGGAGCCATGGTGTGTGAGTGCAGGCACCAGGGCCGGGGAGACCTCCTGGTTCCAACCTGCGCCTGGTTCCCAGGTGGAGCGTCGGCTCGGAGACAGTCCTGGGGTCCAGGGTCACAGTGAAGACAGCCGGGGCCCCATAGGGATGACCAGGCTGCAGGGGGGTGCTCAGGTCACCTGGGTGTTCAGGTTCAAGTGGGCACTGGTTTTAGAGGACTTGCCCTGCCCGGTTGGGCCTCAGTTTACCTGGGGAATCATCACGGCTGGAGTAGAGGGAAGGTGGGTATGGAGTGTGACTGGGTAGGGTCCCGGGTGACCTGTCCCCTGTTCTAGTCATTCCCCCATGACCTGCCTCCCCTAGCCCTCGTGCCCCCCCATCTGCCCCTCAGCCCCTCTGTCCTCCCTGACCTCTGCAGGCGCCTGCTTTCCCCGCCATGCTCCTGGCCGGCTGAGGCCTTGCTCTCTGGAAAAGCCGTGCCTGCCTGGCCTGTGTACAGACCTTGGCTCCTGAACCCCTGGGCTGGGTGACCTGGGCCCCTTGCCCGAGGAGATGACCGCCGAGGGCTCCATTGCAGGGGCCCTTGGAGACTGGGAGCTGGTGGTGCCGGCCTCGTGGGAGGGGTGCTGCTTCTCTCAGGGGGATGGGTGTCCCGTGTGTCCCATGTTCTGTGTGTTCCAGACGTTGCATGCGGCTGGGAGCCAGGGTGATGGTGTCTCAGGGAAGGCTGCTGCCGGGAGTGAGCCCCTCCGCCTGTGGGCACGGTAACAGCTCCGTGCCGTTTAATATTGGCTCTGCAGCAGCGCACTGTTTCATACCTGCTGGCCGCCCGGCTGCCACCAGGGCCTTTGCAAAGAGACCGGCACGAGCACCTGCCCAAATGCAGCACACGGTCTGTCACGGGACAGACCCGCCTGGCCACTCGGACCCGGCCCAGGCCCAGGCACAGCTGCCCCACCTGGCGGGCGGCACCAGGTCCAGGCACCACAGAAGCTCACCAGCACCGGCTCCCAGCTCCAAGACGGCACCCGGGAGGAGGGGCTAGGCTAGGCTGTCCAAGGTCACAGTGAGGATGACAGGGCCGCCTGGAGACCATCAGGCCACTGGGGCTGTTCAGGGCCAGGGTGGGCCCTGTCCTTGGAGGACTGTCCACTCCCATGTTCCCAGGGCCGGGGAGCTGTTCCGCTCTCCGCTGGCGGCGTGGTATCCAAGGGGAGTGTCCCCTCGCGTCTGCCTGAGGTGCGGTGTGTGCACCCACCGGGCAGGTGCGTGTGAGACTGACTTGGCCCCGTCCAGCTGGTCGATGACCTAACCCCCGAGATAACAGGCCTTTCAGAGGGACAGGCGGCAGCCGTCCCTAAGGGACGAAGAACAGGGACTCGGGAAGCCCAGGGTCCGATGGCCGGGCGCCGGGCGTTTATGGGAAAGGGAAGGGGAACCTTTGCTTCCACAGGAGGAAGGCGTGGCTATGGGTGCGGATCCCCTAGCAGTGACGCTGAGTCTAAACCAGCGGTTCTCAACCTGTGGGTCGCGACCCCTTTGGGGGTCGAACGACCCTCTCACAGGGGTCGCCTAAGGCCATCGGAAAACACATACATAATTACATATTGTTTTTGTGATTAATCACTCTGCTTTAATTATGTTCAATGTGTAACAGTGAAATTGGGGGTCACCACCACATGAGGAACCGTATTACAGGGTTGCGGCATCAGGAAGGTTGAGAGCCGCTGGTCTAAACCGTGTTTCTAGTTTTCAGTCTGTGGGCATCCCGCCCCTTGTTATCCTTGCTCACAGCCTCTTGGGAACACGGTTGCTTTAGGCCCAGCAAAGGCTGCTTGGCCTGTTAGGACACCCACGTGGAGGAATGAGACTGCAGCTCCGGCTCCATTTTATTTTGTTGTTTTATTTGTTTGTTTATTTAAAAAAATATTTTTATTGACGTCAGAGAGGGAGGGAGAGGGAGAGAGAGAGAGAGAGAGGAATGCCAGTGCTGAGAGAGAATCATGGATCGGCCGCCTCCTGCACGCCCCTCCGGGGATCGAGCCCGAAACCTGGGCCTGTGCCCTGACCGGGAATCGAACTGTGACCTCCCGGTTCACTCAGCCACTGAGCCACCGGCTGGGCTGCGGCTCCATTTTCAAGTGGGTCTGTCCATGTGGTTCACACGCACTCACTCTTGTCCTGGGGTGTCATCTGAGTGCTGGGGCTTATAGATTCGCGTCCCACGGTCTGTCGAGAACGCAGGCGGAAGTCACTGTGAATGCAGCAGGTCTGTCTGTCCATGCCCTGGGGGTCATGTGCCTGAGGCTGCCCCAGTCACCTGAGGCTGCAGGCTGCCAGGGCCGCTCCCACCCACCTGCATCCCTGCCCAGGTGGACCTGCCTCCCCTCTGCTGTCCTGCAGTCACCCCATCGGGTCCCGCCCTCCCATGCCTGGTTCCTGGCAGGAGCCTGTGACCGTGGCCTGTGGCCTGCGGGCCACGGTGCTGGTACTGGTTTTGTCCTGTAATCGCGAGCAAGGCAGCCCTTCTGGTCAGTCCAGGAGCAGCGGCCCTGGAACCTTCCGGAAAAGCCCGAGTTTCTCGGACACAGGAGCCGTCCGTGTCTGCAGGGACGGGACAGGGTTCCCAGGACCCACGGGGGCCGTGGCCCCCTCCCGAGCTGCCCGTGGAGGGGGTTGGGGAGCGCCCGCCACGCGGGGCCCCTGCCCACACTCTGTCCTCTCCCCTCCAGCTCGCCGCCAACGCCCTGCTCTTCCTGGGCGTGAACGTGTACGGGGTGTGCGTGAGGGTCCTGGCCGAGCGCGCCCAGCGCAGGGCCTTTCTGCAGGCGCGCACCTGCATCGAGGACCGGCTGCGGCTGGAGGACGAGAACGAGAAGCAGGTGGGTGGCGGTCCCTGCGCGGCGCCCTCTCCGGTGAGTCCAGCCTCCCCCCTTCCCCCTGCTCATGTCCCCTGGGTTAGGGTTAGGGTCGCATCCCACTTGCGGGACCTTCTCCGTGGATGGAGGTGCGGCCTGCAGGTCAGTCGGTCCGGGACAGCTGTCTCCCTGGGTGGCCTCGTCCCGTGTCCCCCGCACGCAGGTCCCCGCCCTGCCTCGCTGGTCGGACTGCTTTCAGCACAGGGAGCCCTGTCCTGGGCTCCTGGGCACCCGCAGGCTCAGGTTAGGCTCCGGGTCGCCCGGCAGGCCCAGCGCAGCCCGGAGATGGCCGAGCAGCGCGTCCAGCCCCGTCCAGCCCTGCCCCGTGTCGGGGTGGCCCCGGCCACGTGGGTGTCACGGTCTCTGCTTTCATGTTTCAACTCATGAACAGAGCAGTTCAGCTCAGGAGCCCCTGCGGGAGGTGCACCCCAGTTCTGGGAGATGGGCGGGTGCGGGGCCAATTCTGGGGTGATCGTTGTGGGTAGGGGTGCCCGTGGTGCCGGCAGCAGGTGCCGGGCGGCCGGGACGGGCTCTTTAAGCGAGTCCGGGCCTCTGCTTCCCGACTGAGCATAAAGGAACTTGGTTCTGTCTTGTCACCTGGGAACCCGCTGGTTGGAGAGCTTACTCGCAGTGGTTCTCAACCTTTTGGCCCTTTAAATACAGTTCCTCACGTTGTGACCCAGCCATAAAATTATTTTCGTTGCCACTTCATAACTGTCATGTTGCTACTGTGATGAATCGAAATGTAAATATCTGATATGCAGGATGGTCTTAGGCGACCTCTGGGAAAGGGTCGTTTGACCCCCAAAGGGGTCGCGACCCACAGGTTGAGAACCGCCGGCTTACTGGCTTGGGAAGGAGAATGAAGCGAGTGGCAGAGTGGCCAGTGGCAGAGGGGGCAGGGCATCCCACCGTCTCAGGTCTCCTCACCCTAAAAGGGCCTGGGAAGAGAGGGCGGCAGGAAGGGGCGTCGCGGCCACAGGTGGAGGCGCTAAACACAGATAGTAGGAGGCTCTCAGCGCTGATCTGAAGCCAGAGTGTGTGGGGCTGAGGCAGAACCAACCGGACCGGTTCCCAGAACCGCGTCAGTCCCCCACCGTCTCCAGAACAGCCTCCGGCCTTGAAATGCTGACTCAGCAGGAAAGGGGGGGCAGAGGGGGAGGAAGCCCCTGGCCGGAAGGTCAGCATACGAGGCGGACACCCCAGGGAAACATGTCGTCTCAGGGCCGTCCTGAGGCGGGACCACAGGGTGCAGACTGGGTCATGGTCTGCGGGCCGGGGGGGGGGGGGGGGGGGCTGGGCCACCTGGCTCACCCCCCCCCCGCCCCCCGAGGACTCCTGAGGGCTCCCCCTGGGCCGCTGAATATGCGGGAGCCTCGATTTCTGGCCTGAGTGTCCGGGCGCCGCTGGGCCGATGGCGGCCACCTGTTTTGTTGGCTGAAAATTGTGAAACCGTTTTCTAAAGTGTCTAACGTTTTTCTTAAAAAATTTTCTTTATTGATTTCAGAGAGGAAGGGAGAGGGAGAGAGAGATAGAAACATCAATGATGAGAGAGAATCATGGATCGGCTGCCTCCTGCACGCCCCCCACTGGGAATCCAGCCCAGAACCCGGGCCTGTGCCCTGAGCAGGAATCGAACCCTGACCTCCTGGCTCAGAGGTCACGCTCAGCCCCCGAGCCCGCCGTTCGGGCTGAGTGACTAACGCGTTTCATTCTCAACGCCCTGTCTGCCTGTCTGCGTCGCCAGCGCGGGTGGCGTCTCTGCCTTTTGTTGTCCCTGTTCCAGCAGGTGTGTTGGGCCGTCGTTGTGGCTTTAATGTCCTTTTCTCTCCTGCACTGGCCGGGCCTCCAGGGCCATGTGGACGGGGTGTGGCGGGCTCAGCGCCGGCCCGAGTGCACTGCTGGTGGGGTGCGGGGGGGCCCTCTCTGGATGCTCCCCACCCGGACGAGGAAGGTCCCCTCGCCTCCTGAATCCCCGAGACTTTTCATCGCGAGTGGATGTTGAATTTTGCCATTTTCCCCCTAGATCATTGCCTGTGATTTTTGTCGTTGCCCGTATGGCATCGAGTGATGTCTCAGGGTTGAACTGCACTGTGTCCCTGGCGGATGCCCCGAGCCAGGCTCTGAGGTGTTGGCTGAAATGCTGGGAACGGGCAGAGGTTTCCCATCGTGTTCTTGAGGGCCCCTGGGCCGCGGTTTCCTCGTCTTGTCTTGCCTGGTGCTGGTGTGAGGGCCTGGGTGGCTCCCTCAGCCTCCGTGGCAGGCCGGAGGGTTAGTGCTCGTCCTTTGTCAGGTGCTTGGTTACGGGCCAGTGAAACCACCCGGCTCTGGGGGCTTCTTCCTGTGAGTTTTTAAATGAAGAAACCGACCTCTTTCATGGACACAGAGCTATTCGAGTCTGTCAGTCACAGCACTGACTACATTCCGGGAAGTTGTAATTTCTGCTTTTCGGGGACCCGTGTTTCTCCCCAACTGTCAAACTTGTGTGTGGAGAGCGGGTCCCAGTCCCTTGGGTCAGGAGTGACATCTTTCATTGGTTTTGCTGGAGGTTGGTGAGTTGTTTCATTGAGGGGCTGCTGGGGGGCAGTGAGATGGGGTTCTCTACCCGCCCCCCCCGCCTCCCCAACTCCACGTGGGATCTAAACTCTGCTCCTTGGTTTTCTTCCCAAACCTGAGAGAGGAGCCTCAGACTGTGAGCCTGGAGGTCAGGGCCAGCAGCAGGAGGTCGGGGAGGACCCTGGGAGGGGAGGGCAGGGCTGGGTGAGGAGGGTGAGGCCCAGGAGGGGGGCGGAGCCCCGAGAAGCCCGATGTTCCTCCTGCCCTGGAGGTGGGGGGAGTGGAGACCAGGGGAAACCAGAGGAGGGACCAGGAGGAAACGCCCTGCTGCCTCCAAAGCCCTCACCTCGCGAGGACAGGGCCCCATCTGCCCGGGGCAGGGCCTCCCAGGACGGCTCCATGGCCTCTCGGTGTGGCAGGGGGTGAGGAGCAGGGCTGGGGGCGGGTTCCTTCCCGTGACCGCTTCCTGGAGAAGCCAAGCGCACGGGGGGAGGCACAGGGGGCTGTGGGGAGACACGAGTGGCTGGGTGTTCCGGGGGCATCTGCCCAGGATTCTGGGATTGAGGTCCCTGTGCAGTGACCGGCCAGGCCTGCGCACCACCCACCAGGCTCTGGGGCCAGGCAGGGGCTGCAGGACGGGTCCACGTGCTGCTGGCTTGGGAGGAGGGCTGAGCCCTCGTCCGGGGCAGATGCCTGGAGGATGCACAGGGAGGGCCCACGCAGCACCACCGCCTCTCCTGTCCAGGAGCGGCTGCTCATGAGCCTCCTGCCCCGGAACGTTGCCATGGAGATGAAGGAGGACTTCCTGAAGCCCCCGGAGAGGATTTTTCACAAGATTTACATCCAGCGGCATGACAACGTGAGGTAGTGCGCTGGCCCGTGGCCGAGAGCCTGGGAGCTGAGGTGGAGGTGATGGAGGAGGTGGAGGGGATGGAGGAGGTGGAGGGGATGGAGGAGCTGGGGGTGATGGAGGAGGTGATGGAGGAGGTGATGGAGGAGGTGGGGGTGATGGAGGAGGAGATGGAGGAGGTGATGGAGGAGGTGGAGGTGATGGAGCAGGTGATGGAGCAGGTGATGGAGCAGGTGATGGAGCAGGTGATGGAGGAGGTGGGGGTGATGGAGGAGGTGATGGAGGAGGTGATGGAGGAGGTGGAGGTGATGGAGGAGGTGAAGATGATGGAGGAGGTGGAGGGGATGGAGGAGGTGAAGATGATGGAGGAGGTGGAGGGGATGGAGGAGGGGATGGAGGAGGTGCTGGAGGAGGTGATGATGATGGAGGAGGTGGAGGGGATGGAGGAGGTGATGGAGGAGGAGATGGAGGAGGTGGAGGTGATGGAGGAGGTGATGGAGGAGGAGATGGAGGAGGTAGAGGTGATGGAGGAGGTGATGGAGGAGGTGATGGAGGAGGTGGGGGTGATGGAGGAGGTGATGATGGAGGAGGTGGAGGTGATGGAGGAGGTGGAGGTGATGGAGGAGGTGAAGGTGATGGAGGACGTGGAGGGGATGGAGGAGGTGATGGAGGAGGTGAAGGTGATGGAGGACGTGGAGGGGATGGAGGAGGTGATGGAGGAGGTGATGGAGGAGGTGATGATGATGGAGGAGGTGGAGGGGATGGAGGAGGTGAAGATGATGGAGGAGGTGATGGAGGAGGAGATGGAGGAGGTGGAGGGGATGGAGGAGGTGAAGGTGATGGAGGAGGTGGAGGGGATGGAGGAGGTGATGGAGGAGGAGATGGAGGTGATGGAGGAGGTAATGGAGGAGGTGATGGAGGAGGTGGAGGGGATGGAGGAGGTGGAGGTGATGGAGGAGGAGATGGAGGAGGTGATGGAGGAGGTGGAGGGGATGGAGGAGGTGAAGGTGATGGAGGAGGTGGAGGGGATGGAGGAGGAGATGGAGGAGGTGATGGAGGAGGTAATGGAGGAGGTGAAGGAGGAGGTGGAGGGGATGGAGGAGGTGGAGGTGATTGAGGAGGGGATGGAGCAGGTGATGGAGGTGGAGGTGATGGAGGAGGTGATAGAGGAGGTGCTGGGATGGAGGAGGAGATGGAGGAGGTGATGGAGGAGGTGGAGGAGGTGATGGAGGGGATGGAGGAGATGGAAGTGATGGAGGAGGTGGAGGGGATGGAGGTGATGGAGGAGATGGAGGAGGTGGAAGTGATGGAGGAGGTGAAGGTGATGGAGGAGGTGATGGAGGAGGAGGTGGAGGAGGTGATGGAGGTGATGGAGGAGGTAATGGAGGAGGAGATGGAGGAGGGTAGTTGTCCCCCTAGAGAGGATCCCCTGAAGACCAGGAGGGAGAGGCCACGGTGTGGGCCAGGGTTCGAGCCCAGGCAGGAGGAGCTTCCCCTCTGGGCACTCGGTTCATCATCACACCCCTGAGATCTGCCAGCATCGCACCTTGACTTTGTGAGGAAATGGAGGCTCAGAAAGTGAGGCGAGTGTGCGGAGGTCCCCGACAGGGCCCGGCGGGGCTGAGGCTGGACCAGGGTCAGGGGCCTCTGAGCGGCTGCAGTGTCTCCTGCCTCTGTGACACCAGAGTCCGTGGTCCTTCCGACCTCAGTCTTCTCTCCTGTGAAATGGGAGGAAGAAGCCGTGGCTTCCAGTCTGGGTTGAGGAAGAAGCAGGAAGATGTGCTTCACGGTGACTGTGAAGGGCAGCTGCATGCGGCAGCCTGGTCTGAGGCGAGCGGTGACGGGCATCCCCTGTCTTGCAGCATCCTCTTCGCGGACATCGTGGGCTTCACGGGGCTGGCGTCGCAGTGCACGGCCCAGGAGCTGGTCAAGCTGCTCAACGAGCTCTTTGGCAAGTTCGACGAGCTGGCCACGGTAAGTGCTGCCACGGTAAGTGCTGCCACGGTAAGTGCGGCCACGGTAAGTGCTGCCACGGGAAGTGCGGCCACGGGAAGCGCAGGAACTGGTCCGGGGTCTGCGAGGGGCTGTGGCCCGGACCGATGGGCAGAGGTTGGCTCACCCACTCGGTTCCCGGGACCACCTGTGGGTTTGCAGGTGAGGGAGGCGGGCACTGCCCAGCCCGCGCAGTGTGGTTGGGAGACTCCCTGCCTGTGGGCGCCTCCCAGAGGGTCCTCCCCGGGCAGGGCCTTGGCGGGGGCCTGGGCCCGGCCGAGCCGGCTCCTGTCTTGGTCTGATCTTCGCGGAGGGTGTCCGTCTCCTCCACGCGTGACGTCAGCGCGGCCGGGTCGTGGGTGCTTTTCACCAAGTTGAGGACGTTTCCTTTTATTCTCATTTTGCGAGTTTCTGTCAGGAACGGATGCTGGCTTTTGTCCAGCGTGTGTTTGCGTCTGTTGCGACGGTCACGCGGTGTTCCCCTTCTAGTTCCTGTTGACGACTCGCAGACGCAGGCGGATGTTAGGACGACCTTGTCCCCGGACAGCGGGACGCGGGCGGCGGTGGGCCGTTTGATGTGTTGTTGGCTTTGATTTGCTCAGGTTTTGTAGCGAGTGTTTCCATCTGCGATCCTGAAGGATGTCACTCCGGCTCCCTTGCCCCGTGTGGGGTCAGGGTCATGCGTGCTCGCCCGGCAGGGCCTGGGCGTCCTCCAGCCGGCTTCCGGGAGTCTGCGCAGAACGGGTGTCGCCTCCTGCCTGAGCGTGTGGCCGCGTTTCGTGGTGGAGCCGTCGGGCAAGGAGCTTCATCTGAGGAGCATTCAGCTACAAACCCAGTTTCCCAGACACGGCCCCGGGCTCTGCGCTGCCTTGAGGAGCGTGGTGGTCCTTTTATTTCCGAGGAATCTGTCCGTTTAACCGAAGTTGTCAGCATTATTCAGGTTGCTCGCAGTGTTTCTCGTCACCCCAAGGTCTGTAGACTCAGGGGCGACCTCTCTCGTTCCTGATTTCGGTAATTGGTGTCTCCGTTTCTCTTTCTTGATCATTCTGCCTGGAGGTTTGCCAGCTTTAGTTATTTATTTTATTTTATTTTTGAAAATATATTTTATTGATTTTTACAGAGAGGAAGGGAGAGGGACAGAGAGTTAGAAACATCGATGAGAGAGAAACATCGGTCAGCTGCCTCCTGCACACTCCCCACTGGGGATGTGCCCGCAACCCAGGTACATGCCCTTGACCGGAATCGAACCCGGGACCCCTCAGTCCGCAGGCCGGGCGATGGGAGCCTGTGTCCCTGGCTCTGGTCATCACCCCACCCTTCAGAGGCTGTTCCCAGGGAGACCCTGTCCTCTGTTGCATGTTCTCGGCCCCAGTGTGGCTGTTCCCGCACGTGAGAGGGGACACGTGGGGCCTCAGGCCGTGCAGGTGACGCTCACACCTCACTGGGCCGTTGGGAGGCCGGACAGGAGGGGGCGCCTTTCCTAGCAGGTCACTAACATAATGCAACATTGTATCAGCCCCAGGTGTGTTTAGACACTTACATGCAACATTGTATCCATTCCGTGTATAGCTTCCTGGTTACTCACATGCCTTAGGAAGTGATGGCCCCAGTAGGTCTAGTGCCCACCTGGCTCCGTGCAGTTATTACCGTATTATCGACTCTGTTCTGCATTCTCTACAGTGACCCTGGGTTTCTGTAATTTTTCCTCCTCAGCAGGAAATAGATCATTTACTGGAAAGCGGGTAGATGCTTGGAAGTCCCGGTGCCTGTCATTTGCATGGGGGGTCACCCCACCCCGGCCCCCAGGAAAACACTCCTCAGCAGTGGGGCCCAAATGGGCCACTTCCAGTCCCCTCCGCACCTGCCCACCCTCAGGTGCCCCAGATCCTGGAGCGACCTCCTTCCCAGCATCCCGTCCTCCTGTCGGCCTTGGGTGGGGGTGCTTTTGGGCTCTAGACCCCGTGAGTCTTCCCGATGGCGTAGAACCCCCTCTCCCTCCTGGGCCTGGGGTGGGTGGGGGCTCAGGGCCTGTTGGGGGCTCTGCCTCCTGGCCCCATGGCTGCCTGCTCAGGCCGGGCAAGGGCCCACAGACCACGGAGCCAGGGCAGGAGACCCTCCGGCCTGTCCTCTGCTGCCTCACTGGTGCCCCCTCCCTTCCAGGCCCCTCCCACGGCCTTGTCCCTTCTGTCTCTGCTTTGGCCGGAAACCAGGTTCAGGCATCAGATGCTCCCGCGGGAACCCCAGTATTTTCAGGGAGCGAACACGTCAGAATCCACAAACAGCACGCTCCTGGGTCTCTGGAGCTTGCTCACAGATGCCAGGGCGCTTGAGATGAATAAAACCAGATGATGCATTTAAAAATATATCTTTATTGATTTCAGGGAGGAAGGGAGAGGGAGAGAGAGAGAGAGAAATTTCAGTGATGAGAGAGAATCATGGACCGGCTGCCTCCTGCACGCCCCACACGGGGGATCGAGCCCGCAACCCGGGCCTGTGCCCCGACCCGGAATCGAACCTGGTTCATGGTTGACTTTCAACCACTGAGCTTCGCCGGCCGGGCCCAGACGATGCGTTTTACCTCCCCAACCCGCTCTGGACTGTGGGGCCTGCCGTGGGGCCGGGCTGGGAGGGACGCGCTCTGCGTCTCCAGCCGGGGACACAGGCGGCTGATTTTGCTGCTGTTAAAGCCCCACCCCCACCCCAGAGGCCGGGGGCCCGGACGCTCGCGTGGCCAGCTGCAGGCCGCCGGCCAGAGGATCTTATTCGTCGTTGGCTCGATAGCGGGAGCACAGAGCGCAGTTAGGTGGAAGCTGTGGGTGTTCGGAGCTGGGCCGGAGCTCTGGGCTCGAGGAGACAGGCGGGGGGCTGACACAAGCGGGGGGCTGACACAAGCGGGGGGCTGACAGGTGGGGGGCTGACACCGGACGGCAGGCACCTGAGAGAAGTGGAAGCAGCCAGGCCTCTCGCCAGTCATTTGTTGTTACCTTAGAGGTGTCACTTTTGTTAACGTGCGACGGGCTTGCTGTTGTCTCGGGTGAGTGGATGCACCGTGAAGATTTCCCATGTGGCTCCTCGGGGTGACCCCCAGCTGCGACCCCCGAGGAACGTGCTCAGGTGGTGATCCCCAGGTGTGGGGGGTGGGGTCAGGACTCTGGCCCACCAGGTGAATCAGATCTGTGGGCCCAGACGTGGGGCCCAGGCTGCAGGGACTGGCAGATGCGTGTGGCCCGCCCTTCCCGGGTGAGGGGGGGACCTGGCACGTTTCAGAGGGCGTCACAAGAGGGGCGTGTGCCAGCCCCACGGGGGTGGGAGCCGGGCTGGGGGAGGAGCTGGCGCCCAGGCTGGGCAGGGTCTGTGGGGTGGGCCTGGTGAGCGGAGGGACCAGCAGATGGACTCCTGCCTGGAGGAGGCCTGAGGGCAGGTGTGGGGAGGCGTGGGTGCTCCAGGGCCACCCTGATCACAGCCAGGGGGGCTGCCCGCCCTCCCGAGGCTGCGCTGCCCGAGGGGAGTCCCCGGGGGGCGGGGGGGCCCTGGTGTGAGTCCCGCCCTGTGGTAGGTCTCCAGCACCTCGTGGGTGGAAGGGGCGGGGCCGCCTGGCCGTCCCTGACGCGCCCTCTGCTTGCAGGAGAACCACTGCCGGCGCATCAAGATCCTGGGGGACTGCTACTACTGCGTGTCTGGCCTCACCCAGCCCAAGGCCGACCACGCCCACTGCTGCGTGGAGATGGGCCTGGACATGATCGACACCATCACGTGAGTGCCCGCAGCCGCGGGCCCGTGCGTCCCGGTCCGTCTGTCCCAGTGGTCACCTGTGCCGGGGCTGCCGAGACCTGGCCGAGGCGAGGGTGCGAGAGAGCCTCCTCTCCTGTGGGGGCTGCGTGACCCCCTCCTTTGGACTCTGTGAGGGACCCCCAGGGCCCGTGTGCACCGTCAGGCGGGAAGTCACCTCGCGGGCGTAGCTGGATGAGAGTCGGGGCCGACTGGGGAGTTCCCTTCCTGGGGCGGGGCCCGGGGGCAGGGGTGCCCTGTGTGGGGCGTCCCTGGGGCACCGGGGCTGGCCTGCCGCTTCTGGTCCTGGCCATGTTGTTCCAGGTGCCGACTGGGGCCCAGTTTGCTTCTCTCCTTCCCTGGGGAAGGAGCTGGGCTTGGAGCCGGGGTTAGCGTCCCTCCTGGAGCCGGGAGCCCGTGGCTGAGGCCCTGCTTCTCCCGCGGGTTCTGGGCCGCCCTGGGGTCCCGCCCTGGGGTCCCGCCCTGGGGTCCTGTCCTGCAGGCCTGACGTCTGTGGATGATGAGATGATGGGGGGGGGGCTGTCCTTGCTCAGGCCAGGGTGATGCTGTCCCCCCCTGTGCGTGGTCTCCCCCCTCCCAGGGCCTCCCGCGTCCCTCAGCCAGGCTGGAGGTGGGCTGGTCCGTCACCGCTGGGAGGGGGAGAAGGCGCCTGGGCCGGGGTCTGATCGCGGTGTCCGCACGTTTTGTTGTGTTTTTACCGCCGGTGGACAGGGTCACTACCTGCACCCGTAAAGCCCGTAGTTGGGCGGCTTGGGGAGCGCCGGGCCCCCTGCAGGCCGTTCTGCAGCCCCCTCTCCCGAGGCTCAGAGTTCGGGGTCAAACCTGGACGGTTCAGAGTCCCAGGCCGGGCCCCTGGTGGCCGCGCTGTGGCCCTCACGCGGCAGGAGGGCCCCTGTCGGCTCCCGGGACGCAGAGCAGCATCGTTTCCCTCCTGGGCGGCCTGGAGGGCGGGGCGGTGCCCTGTGATGGCCGGTGGCGGGGACTGGGGGGCCTCCTGGGCACAGCGGGGGGCTGGGCTCCCCAGGCCGGGCGGCCTCACGCTCCTGCCCGTCCAGGCACCGAGCTCGGCCGTCGGGGACACCAGGCCCGGACCCTGGGCCTCGGCCGGGAGGGGGCGGACGGCTCCGCGGCCGACGCCCGTGTCCGTGTCCGTGTCCGTGCGCAGGTCCGTGGCCGAGGCCACCGACGTGAACCTGAACATGCGCGTGGGGCTGCACACGGGCCGCGTGCTCTGCGGCGTCCTGGGCCTGCGCAAGTGGCAGTACGACGTGTGGTCCAACGACGTGACCCTGGCCAACGTCATGGAGACCGCGGGCCTCCCGGGGTGCGTGCGGGCGAGGGCGCTGCTGCGGAGACGGGGCGGAGGGGGGGTCCCCGCAGCGCCGGCCACGGGGCGGGGCGTCTCAAAGTGGGCGGGGCTCTGAGCGGAGCGCCAATGAGGAGGCTCCGCGCGGGCGGCGCTGTCCCCGGTGCTGATTCTGGTGCCGTTCGCTTCCCTCCTTCCGAGGGGCTGGGCTCGGAGCGGGTCAGACCCCCGGCCGCGCCCCCGGGCCCTCGCTGCGCACGCTCTGCTCCCGGGACAGACCCAGAGCCCAGGCTGACCCCGTGAGGTCGCCCCGAGCGCGGGGGGCGGGGGGGTCCCTGTCCTCGCAGCGGGGCTGCAGGGCCGGCCGTGTGTCCGGGGGCTGAGCGTGGGCCCCCCGGGACTCTGAGCCGCGGGCTCGCCCTGCAGGAAGGTGCACATCACCGAGGCGACGCTGGCCTGTCTGAACGGCGACTACGAGGTGGAGCCCGGCCACGGGCACGAGAGGAACAGCTTCCTGAGAGCTCACAACATCCAGACCTTCTTCATCGTGCCCTCGCACCGGCGCAAGGTGCGCCCGCGCCTCTCCTCCCGCTGCCTCTGCGGCTCCAGGCACCCTGGGGCGGGCGTCCCCCCACGTCCTGTCGGGGGCTGGCCTTGGCGTGTGCGTGTGAGTGTGTGTGTGTGCGTGCGTGTGTGTGTGCGCGCGTGTGTGCGCGCATGTGCGTGTGTGTGCGTGTGTGTGAGTGTGTGTGCATGTGAGTGCGTGTGTGCGTGCGTGTGTGTGCGCGCATGTGCGTGTGTGTGCGTGTGTGTGAGTGTGCATGTGAGTGTGTGTGTGCGCGCGTGTGTGCGCGCATGTGCGTGTGTGCGCGTGTGTGTGAGTGTGTGTGCATGTGAGTGCGTGTGTGCGTGCGTGTGCGTGTGTGTGAGTGTGTGTGCATGTGTGTGTGAGTGTGCATGTGTGTGTGTGTGCGTGCGCGCGCGTGTGCGCGTGTGCGTGCGTGTGTGAGTGTGTGTGCGTGTGCGTGTGTGTGTCGGGGGGAGGCACTCTGATCATCTCTGAGCCCTGGGTCCGTGGTGCCTCCTCCCGGGCCTTCATTGCCTCTTGTGCAAAACAGATTAGAGACACCCTGCAGGGGTCAGGGATGGGGGCACACAGCAGGACGGTGGCCAGCTTATGTGGGCGCTCGAGGCGATGTGGACAGGGTGCAGGGTGACCAGGTCATGTCCAGGGCTCAGGTGAGGGGTGCTGGGCTGAGGAGGGAAGCCTGTGAGGAGCTCTGAGAGGGTGCGTGGGCCCTAGTGCCCTGCTTGATGCCTCCCCATCAGCTGCCCCCATCAGTTGCCCCCCATCAGCTGCCCCCCATCAGCGACCCCCGCATCGGGTTCAGAGGCAGGGGGCGCGTTGGGAGCGTGTGTGGGCCCATCGCCGGCTGGTGCCTGCTGGTCCCCACGTGTCCCCGAGGCCCCGTGTGGACAGGCCTGGCCAGACGCCCGTCCTGCCACAGCCACGCAAGGCGAGGGTCAGGCGGCTGCTCACGCCGTCCCGGCCGCTGTCGCACAGATCTTCCCGGGGCTGATCCTCTCGGACATCAAGCCGGCGAAGAGGATGAAGTTCAAGACGGTGTGCTACCTGCTGGTGCAGCTCATGCAGTGCCGCAAGATGTTCAAGGCCGAGATCCCCTTCTCCAACGTCATGACCTGCGAGGACGACGACAAGGTAGCCCCCCCCCCCCCCCCCGCAGCTCGGACGGGCTGGCTCGGTCTCGGCTGACGTGCTTTCCTGCAGGAATGTTTGTTTAGCCGGCACTTCTCTCTGCAGCCCGGCATTCCGCCCATTTATCTGTAAATTCACGCGTGAGAGCCCCGTTGCTGTCTGACTGCCTCAGACACGCACCTGTCAGGTGTCTCGCTTGATCCAGAGTCTCAGGCCTCCTGTCCCTGCCCTCGGGCCTCTGCCCGGTTACCCCGTCCCTGGGAGGTGGGGGTGAGGGGCGTCTCTGGCTGTGCCCTCCTACGTGTGTGGGTCCGGCTCTTCTGGCCTCTGCTGGCCTCGGGGGCAGGGTCCTGGGGGGGAGCCTGGAGCTCAGTGGGGCATCCTGTGTCCACTCTAACGGCACGTGCCTCATGTCTGTGACTCTGGCCCGAGACCCCAGCCCCTCCGGGGACCCCAGTCCTCTGGGCAGGGGGGCTGCGTCCTGGCAGCCGAGTGAGGTCTGGCCCCACCACACCGAGAGCAGCCTGCGTGTCCCCCCACCTCCCCCGTCCTCGCCTGCAGCCCCGGGAGCACCTGGCCGCTCCGTCGGGGTGACCGGTCTGCCTGCTCACCAGGGACCCGCCTCCTGCCGCCCGAGACTGTGTCCTCCTCTCACGCCGCCTCCGCCTCTCGGTTCCGTGCCTTTAAGAGGCATCGATCCCCAGAGGTTCGCAGGCTCCTCAGAGAGTGAAGGTCCGGGGCTCTCACGGGCCGCCGGTGGCCTCGGGTCTGGTGTGGGTTTGGCCGGGAGCCCGTGTCCGTGGGAACTGGATCTGGAGGCTCCCTAAGTGCCCTGCGGTCAGGGGTCAGGAGGGCGGCCTTCCCCGCTGCCGGCCGGTACCAGTGGGAGACTGTGGGTGTCGTCTTCTTTAGCCCGTTAGTGGGGGGGGGGGGCGCATCGACGCTGAAATGTCCCAGCGGCCCCGCTCCCTGACACGGGTGTGCCCTGTGCTTCTGGTGACAGCTCGCCGAGTTCTGGGTTCGTGTTGTGAAGGATTCTTTTCGCATCTGACTGAGGGGGGAGGGCCGGCAGCTGTCCGTGTTCGCGGTTCGTCTGGTTGATCGGGCGTTATAACATGAATCGGGGCGCGCGCCCTCCTCGCCTGTTTCCTGGAAGAGGCTGTGGGGTCGGGGTTCGTGCTCCTTCTCCTCGGAGCCGTGGGCCGGGCATTGCATTTGGGGATTGGAAACGACGACTTCGATTTCTGAGGAATTCCAGGCCCTCGGTCGGCCAGCTGCGGCTCGCGAGCCACTTGCGGCTCTTTGGCCCCTTGAGTGCGGCTCTTCCAGAAAATACCGACGTCTGCGCATAGGCCACGAAGTTTCAGTCACACTGTACGTGCGCCCGCACGTGGTATTTTGTGGAAGAGCCACACTCCAGGGGCCAAAGAGCCGCAGCTGGCCGACCGCTGTTCCAGGCGGCTCGGATGCCCCCGGTGGAGACGGCGGAGCTTGTGTCCCGAGGGGGGGCTCAGGCTGCGGTGTCGGTGGATGAGCACCTCGCTCAGGCCGTTCTGATCCCCTCTCCCGGTCGGTCGGGGGTCTCACAGGACAGTCCCCTCCTGGACTTGTCGGTGTCTTTCTCTCTGTCGCACTTGCTGGAGATTCGTCGATTTTGTTGCTATTTTCGAAGAACCAGCGTGTGTCGTTGCCCTGTCCTGGGCACTGTCCCCGGTGGCACTTGGGGTCCTGCCGCCCTCCTCCCGGCCGCCCCACAGTCGCCGTGTGACCCCGTCACCGATGCCAGGACTCCCCGGGGGCGTCACGGCCGGCAGGTGGCGGAGCCGCGACCCCTCTCAGGTCCGCACGCGCCCGGACGCGGGGCCGGGGCAGGTGGGCGTGAGGCGCCTCCGTCTGTGGGTGGGCGTTTGACGACGGCCTTGCTCCCCGCCGCCCGCAGCGCAGGGCCTTGCGAACGGCCTCGGAGAAGGGCAGGAACCGGCTGTCCTTCTCGACCAACGCCGCCCACACCGCGCCCGGCACCCGCGTCAACAGGTACATTGGCCGCCTCCTGGAGGCCCGGCAGACGGAGCTGGAGATGGCGGACCTGCACCTGCTCACCCTCAAGTACAAGCAGGCGGAGCGCGAGCGGAAGGTGGGTGCCGGGCTCGGGGCGGCCGGAGCCGGGGCCCTGGGACTCGGCCACGTGCACACCCCCCTCCCCCGTCCCTGCGGGCGGATGCTGTTCTTTCTTCCCCTTTTCTTTTAAATCCTCACCCAGGATGCTTTCCCCATCGACTTAAAAAAATATATTTTCCTATTGGTTTCGGAGAGGAAGGGAGAGGGGGAGAAACATCAAAGATGAGAGAGAATCATGGATCAGCTGCCTCCTGCACGGCCCCTACGGGGATGGAGCCCGCAATCCGGGGCTGTGCTCTGACCAGGAATCGAACTCTGACCTCCTGGTTCATAGGTCGATGCTCAACTACTGAGCCACACAGGCCTGGCGCCATTGATTTTTTTTTTTTTTTTTTGAGAGAATGGAAGCTAGGGTGGGAGGGCAGGGGGGAGAGAGAGAGAGAGAGAGAGAGAGAGAGAGAGAGAGAGAGAGAGAGATACAGCAGTTGGTTGCCTCCTGCATGTGCCCCGAACGGGGCCGGGGATCGAATGTGCAACCCAGGCATATGCCCTTGATGGGAATCGAACCCGAGACCCTTGGTGCTCCGGCCGATGCTCTGACACTGGCCCACGCTGGCCAGGGCAGTGCTGCTGTGGACGCCACAGTGGCCGGGCGTCCCGGTGGCTCCCACGGTCGGGGCAGCAGCCTGACGGGGCTCTGTCCGCAGTACCAGCAGCTCCCGGACGAGTCCTTCACCAGCGCCGTGGTGCTCGCCCTGGTCCTGGCCGCCCTGTTTGGCCTCGTCTACCTTCTCATCATCCCCCAGTGAGTGCGGCTCCGGGTGGGCGTGGGGGGCGAGGGCCGGGGTTCCTTTCTCTTTAAGCTCATCCTGCCCCCCGCTGGGGACGCACACGCCACACACACGCCCTCGGCCCACGGCCGGCCGGCTGCTCACGCTCAGGGCCGACGCTGCACGGCCGGGGGGCTGCTCACGCTCAGGGTCGACGCTGCACGGCCGGGCGGCTGCTCACGCTCAGGGGCCGACGCTGCACGGCCGGGCGGCTGCTCACGCTCGGGGCCGACGCTGCACGGCCGGGGGGCTGCTCACCCTCGGGGTCGACGTTGCGTTTGTAACGGAGACGCCAGTGGTCTCAGTCCCGCCCCCGCCATTGCCTCAGCTTCGAAGGAGAAACCAGAAACGCCGAAGGGACAGTGGCCTCTGGGAAGGGTTTTAATAACCTGTGTCACGTGACCCAGCGAGGACGACCCAGGAAACCTCCCCGTTTCCCTCACACACAGCGTCTCCTAGTGGAACGTCCGCGTGGAGCCCTCTGAGTTTCCAGGGAGCACCCGCTGGGCGCACCTGGAGGCCTCACCTGGGGCTCAGGCGGGTCCCAGACGGAGCCCAGCAGCCCAGTCCGCACAGCGCCCCTCCCCCTTCCTCTGCACACTCAGGGTTGGGAGGCTCTGGGGGAGGAGTGGGGGGTCCTAGGGCCCTGCCCTGGACGGGAGCCAGAGATGCTGCTGCTTCCGGGGGCGGAGGGACGGGGGGCTGGAGGGGCCGATGCCCAGGCACCTCTGGGGCACACCCACCAGGCCCAGCCCGAGTGACCAGGCGCCTCTGTCCTAGGAGCGTGGCCGTCCTGCTCCTGCTGGTGTTTTGCATCTGCTTCCTGGTGGCCTGTGTCCTGTACCTGCATATCACCCGGGTCCAGGTATGTGCCCTGTCCCCGTGCCTCACCCGGTCCAGGTGTGTGTGTGCGTACCTGGACAGGTAAGAACTCTGACTTTTTAAAAAACTCTTACTTTTATCCATAAAATTGTTGAATATTGAAAAATGAATGAGAATAGATTTAAGATAAAATGTTTAACTTAGTAAAAATTATACAGAACCTGCCTGAAGAAAACGGTAAGACTTACTTAAGCACAAAGCCCCCGTAAACGGAAATTCTCACCGTCGATGAGCCAGGACCGAACATTATGGAAATGTGAGGCCAGGCTGTTCTCTGGCTCAGTGCCAGTCCCAGTGCGGGGAGGGAGCTGCTCTTTTTAATGGAAAGACACCAGGTTTTCCGGCAAATCTTTCCCCTGGGAGATTAAATATAAGGAAACACAAGAGGCGTGTGCGTGCGTGTGTGTGTGTGTGTGTGTGTGTGTGTGTGTGTGAGGAGTGGGCGGGGCCCAGCCGGCGACATGGCCACGGAGGCCCCTGCGGAGGCCACGGCCCTGTCCACGTGGGGAGGTGCTCCCGGACGGGCCCCCTGGAGTGGGAGACGCCGGTGACCACGGCCCCTCGTGCAGTGCCTCCCGGGCTGCCTGACCATCCGGATCCGCACCGCCCTGTGCACCTTCATCGTCGTCCTGATCTACGCAGTGGCCCAAGGCTGTGTGGTGAGGGCCGGCGCTGTAGGGCGGACACAGGGAGGAGAGGGCCGGTGGGGAGCCCCAGGGGCCAGACGGGAGGGGAGGGAGAGGGGAGGGAGCCGTGGAGGGGGCGGAGCTGGGGCTGAGGGGCAGCTGCGTGTGGGGAGTGAGCCCCCCTTCGTGCCCTCCGTGCCCCTCCAGGTGGGCTGCCTGCCCTGGGCCTGGAGCTCCGGCCCCAACGGGTCCCTGGTGGTGCTGCCGCCCGGCGGCCTGGACGCCGTGCTGCCCGCCCCGCCCTGCGAGTCCGCGCCCCAGGCCCTGCTCTGCGGCCTGGTGGGCACCCTCCCGCTCGCCCTCTTCCTGCGGGTCTCCTCCTTGCCCAAAGTGGTCCTGCTGTGCGTGCTCAGCGCGTCCTACATCCTGGTCCTGGAGCTCAGCGGCTACACCAGGGCCGTGGGGTAGGTGTGCCTCGCGCGCGGGACAGGCGGGCGGCGCGAGGTCCGTGTTCACGGCCGCGGGTGCTGCTTGCTGGTCGGTGCTTCTCCACCCGCCCCCGCCCCCAGGTCTGGGAAGGCCTTGGTCCCGGGGACCCGCGGGTCAGCCCGGGTCAGCTCCGGGGATACGTGCTCAGCCCGGGGGTGCCCGTGGGCGTTGAGACTGAGGGGCGCTCTGTGGACACGGCTCATGTTCGATGCCAAAGTCTGGGCACTGACGGGGTTTCCTCCTCCTCGGACCAGGGGCACCACGTCTGGGCGCAGCTTCGAGCCCGTCCTGGCCGTCCTGCTGTTCTCCTGCACGCTGGCCCTGCACGCCCGGCAGGTGGACGTCAAGCTGCGGCTGGACTACCTCTGGGCCTCGCAGGCAAGATGGGCCCTTCCTGCTCCCCGGGCGGGGGGGGAGGGGCAGAGGAGCCCCTTGGGAGCGGGCGTCAGGTGGGCGGTCCTGGCTGGATGCTGGCCGGCTGTGAGGGTGGACACAGCCCAGTGTGGGGCGTGGGGCCGGGGCCGGGGCCCGAGGGGAGGCAGCACCGCAGGGCTAGAGGGACGGCTCCACGAGCCCCATCTGGGGTCAGAGTTTACTGGCTGGTGAGTAGTGAGCTCCCCGTCCCCTTAGGCATTCCAGCCACCACTGGTCTCCTTTCTGCCCCTGAGGGTTTGCCCATTCGTTTGTTCTCCAACCTGCATGCTGAGTTCTGGCTGTTCTCAGCAAACCCACCCGTGTGAGGCCTGACCCTGAGCCAGGCCTGTGGGGAGGCCGCGGACTGTAAGGCCTTGGCCCAGCCCTGAGCTCACGCCACACAGGGAAGCCGGGCTCTAGGCAGGCGGGCCCGTGGGGCAGGGATGCCCGTTCCCACTGCCGACGGGGAGCCGGGCCAGATCCCAGAACCCGGGACAGGGCGGCCACCGACGGAATTCACAGCCTTGGCCACAGGACGGGCAGCCTCGGTGACTGTGCCGGGAGGGACTCGGCTGGCTCCCGCTGGTTCCCGCTGGCTCCCGCTGGCTCCTGCTCCCGCTGGCTGTGCCAACAGGAAATGGGTGGCGAGGGGGCCTGTTGGTGGGTCCTGGGGTGGGAGCAGGCGCCAGCACACACCTGGCCCTGCGCAGACCTGGCCGCGGCAGTTGAAAGCCCGCAGGTGAGGGAGCGGCCTCGGTGGGCGTGCTGCCCGCGTGGTCCGCTCTCCATGGGGCCCAGCTGCTGGCCCCCGAGACGCGTCGCTCCGCCCCCAGCCCCTCTGGGTCCTTGAGCTGAAGAGCTGCCCAGAGCGGGAAGAGCCGATGGGGTGAGGCAGGGCGACCCGCCCGCCGGGCATGTGGGCCCCACCCGGGCTCCGGCTTGTGCCCAGGCCTGCGGAGCGGGACCGGGGCCCTGGCGAGGGATCTCCATCTGGGGACCCCCAGGGGGACCCCCAGGCAGGTGCTGTCTGTCGCCTGGGCTGGGAAGGGCTTTTCCTGGGGTTGGTGCCCCTTTCAGTGCCAGTAAACACCCGTCTTGGGTCCCCCACCGGTGAGGCCCTCGTCCCCGAGAGGCGAGCCCCAGGGGTTCCGTGCGCAGACCCGGGGGCGCCGTGCTGCAGGGACACGTGGGAGAAGCGCCCGCACTGCCCGGGACCCAGCGGAGCGAGGACGCTGCCGGACGGCGTGTTGTCCTCGGACAGTTACTGTTGTGCGGCCGTCAGCGCCTCCAGCCTCTGCCCGGGGGCCAGGCGAGGGCCCGGCTGACACTCACGGAGCCCAGCTCCCTCTCCGCCGCCGCCTCCGGAGGGAACGCTCTTGCTCGGGCGGCTTCCTCTCGGACTCAGTAGGGAATCCTGGGGCAGCACTGGTTCCCAAGAAAATAAAACGGCCGATGGCTCTACCTGGGCTTGTGCCGAGGCCCTCCTGGCCACACCTGGGGTCGGGCGGTACCTTCTCGAGCTGCCGCCTCATCAGCAACGTGGCCGGGCAGCGGGGACGTCACCACGGCCGCAGCTCACCTTCTCGCAAGGAGTTTCCCCTCCTCAGAGCCCATCCGAGCGCCCGCGGGCCGCCCTGGGGCACCGAGGAGGAGGACCAGGTGGCGGGACACAGGCCTGCGCTGCCTGACAGTGGACCTGACGCCGGGACGACTGTGAGTCACAGCAGGTGGGAGTGCCCACAGCCTGGAGACGCCGGGCAGACGGGCGCGTCCCAGCCCGAGTGGACACGGGACAGCGAGAGACTCCGTCACGCTCCTTGGAACAGCGCACGACTTTCAAAATTGATTTTATAGGGAGAGGGAGGGAGAGGGAGAAACATCCATGATGAGGGAGAATCATGGATCGGCTGCCTCCTGCACATCCCCCACGGGATGGAGCCCGCCACCCAGGCCTGTGCCCTGACCGGAATCGAACCCTGACCTCCTGGTTCACAGGTTGACGTTCAGCCACTGAGCCGCGCCGGCCGGGCTCACAGGGCCCGATTTAAACGGGTGAACTGTGTGTGTAGAATTTTCCGTGCACTGTTTTCGGATGGCGTGGACTGCGTGGCGCCGGAACCCGGCTGAGGAACGGCGGGGGCCAGGGGGCGACTGGGCGGCTTCTGCTCCTCGGCTACGAAGACGGACACTCACCACGTCGGCGGCAACGTCTGCACCTGCGGCCGCATTAAAGCGAGACGAGGGGGGACGACAGCAGGTCCGATCGCTTGGAAATCCGATGAGCTGTAAACGGGTAGAAACAAACGGAACTCGGAACCAAAGCGGCTCCTCAGAAGGCGCTGAAGCGAGATTGAAAGCAAGTGAGAGCCCCTCCGGCCGCAGCGTTTTCCCCGAAATATCGTCGGTGTTGAGGGTTGTGTTCGGAGAGCAAGCCTCTGTGCCATCAATAAATATGCGACATGTCATTTAAAGACCTTCCTCTCCACCCCTCCTTCCAGCACCTTCCGTGTGTCAGTGCGCACGGGCGGACGGGGTCAGCGGTGCCGTCTCAGGCGGGCTCCCCCTGGCTCTCTCTCCGCGTAGAGGCCCCGCCGGGCGCAGGTCCCTCGGCTGAGCTGGGTCTCATGGCTGCCGGGCTCCTCTCCTCGCCTGCGGCCTGTCCACCTGCTTTGAGGAGCGGGAGGAGGCCCCAGTTGGCAACTGCTGACGATGCACGGCTCCTGGGACCTTGCCCGGCTGTTTTCCCAGAAAACCCCCGGCAGGAGCGGGGGCCCCCGGCCCCTCATCCCTGCCTCGCGGTGCCCGGTGCCCCCGTGGGAATCGCCGCGTCTCGCTTTCAGTTGCAGAATCGCCTCGTGAACTGTGCTGCCAGCCAGCTGGATGGCTCTGACGCCGCCACGGAGGGGACGCTCCAGCTCACGGGGCAGCACGTGCCCTCCGACCCCTCGACACGCAGGACTGGCCTTTGAAAACGGGCATTTCACTCCCCGTGGACGGAGAGGAGGCTGGAGCCGGCGCCTGGCAGGTGCCACCAGCCAAGGCTCCTGAGGCCAGGCCCCGGCCACTGAGGCGCCGTGTGTGGCGTGACCACGTTCAGGAGCGCGGTGCCCGAGGACGCCGCACACGGGAGGTGCCGCGAGCTGAGCTGCTCTCGCGTGGGGCTCTGCCAGGCGGGAAGCCGGGCGAGTGACCCACAGATCCGGTGGCACCCGTGCCCATGGGTGGAGCCCACCACTGGCTGCCGTCGCGTGGCCAGTGGCGCCTGGAGCCCTCCCGTGGCCGAGGGTGGGCCCCGGAGCTCAGGGCCACCCGCTGGGGCTCAGCAGCCCCCGTCGGACCTCTCTGGTCCCTCAGCTGTGTGGGCGCTGGGTCCGCCCGTCTGGTCCCACAGCCTCTGCCGTCTCCGTGGCCCGCGAGGAGGCGGCGGGATTCCTGAGGAAGCGGGTTTGAGCGTGAGCGAGGCGGCGGCACCGCAGGCCGGGGTCCGTGTGGCCTGAGGGGCTTGTGCTGTGGACGGGGCTCTGCGGACGCCGGGCCCACCGCTGCCCGGAAACAGGCAGAGCCTCCGCGCTCTGTCCTGACAGTTCGGCAGGTCCGGGCGGCTCACCCAGAAGCCGTGGGTCCAGCCCCGCTGCCCGGGGACGGGCCTGGGGGCCCTTGGCGCTCGGGGCGCCCGGGTGACGGGACAGAGCGTGCTCGGGGCCTCAGTGAAGGGGCAGCGCAGGCGGCTCACGGGTCTCGTTAAGGGCGAGGCGGGTGGTGTTCGCGTGGATGTGACTGTGGGGGCCACCGCCGTGGGGAGCGGGGGCTCAGCACAGACAGGCTGAGGGGTTCAGCTCCGGGCAGGTGGCCGGGCAGAGGGAACCTCGAAAGGGGAGGCTGCAGGGGGGCTGGGAGCTCCTGTGGGGGACACAGCAGGTCTGACGCCAGGGGCGGGGGGCCCGGCGGGAGGAGGTGGGCGCGGGCGCTGGGCGCTGAGGCCTGACCCCGCAGGCGGAGGAGGAGCGGGACGACATGGAGCGGGTGAAGCTGGACAACAGGAGGATCCTCTTCAACCTGCTGCCGGCGCACGTGGCGCAGCACTTCCTGCTCTCCAACCCCCGCAACATGGTGAGCCGCCGCCCTGAGCCCTCAGCCCTGAGCCCCGAGCCCCGAGGCCGAGGGGCCGCAGGTGGGGGCCCGGGCCCAGCTGAGGTCCCACCCAGTGGCCCTCCCACTCCCTGTCCTCTCACAGTCTCACCGAGGTCGGGGTCCCCTCTGCCGGCCCCAAGGGCAGGGAGGGTGTGGCCATCAGGAGGCTCCTGGGGGGGACGAGGCGCCCGGAAGTGCCCCCCTTTGGTTCTGGGAGAGAGCACGGTGCCCGTGTCCCGTGAGGAGGGACGGGGCCTCCGTGGCCGGTGTGAGCGCCGTGGGCTGGTCACGACTTCCTGTGGCCGTGGGAGCTGCACGCTGGGCTGACAGAGGCCGAGCCCAGAGCGAAGGGCTGGCCAGCCGTCATCCGCACAAGCCCCAGGCCAGCCTGGCCGCTTGGCCGCAGGGCTCCCCGGGCTCCTGCCGTCCTGCCCGCCCCCCCCCCACCAGGAGCCAGGAGGCTCTGCACTGGCTGTGAGCTGACCAGTGGGGGGACCCGGCCCCCTCAAGCCCCTTCCACAGCAGGGCCCCGGCCCCCGCTGACCCGACCTCCGACCCCCAGGACCTGTACTACCAGTCGTACGCCCAGGTGGGTGTCATGTTTGCGTCCATCCCCAACTTCAACGACTTCTACATCGAGCTGGACGGCAACAACATGGGGGTGGAGTGCCTGCGGCTGCTCAACGAGATCATCGCCGACTTCGACGAGGTGAGGGCGCCCGCGGCCAGGCCGGGCAGGCGAGAGGAGTGTCCTCCCGGCGGGTGTGTCTCGAGGGACCGGGTAGAGGCACAGGGTCTGTCTCTGTGGGTCCAGATGGTGCGGGGGCAGGCCGCCGGCGGGCAGGGGGCGGTGAGGCCGGTGCTGCGTCCGCCCGTCTGGTCAGCGCCGGGCGCGGGCTGGGCCGCACCTGCAGGTGGGGCAGCGGCCGCCTCCGGCCAGCATCCTGGTCCCTCCCGTGGCCCCGCCCGCCCAGAGGCTGTGAGCTGAGGCACATTCTCCGCCCCGGCTCCTCCTTCTAAGGCCTCTGTGGCCCTCGGGCGGCATCTCAGCTCGGCCGACCTTGGTGCTCCCCGACGTGCTCGCGGCTCAGCGCTCAGCGGCGGCTTGTCTGCCGTGTAAGGTGACGTGTGAGTTCTGTTTCCCACAAGCTACTGGACAAGGACTTCTACCAGGACCTGGAGAAGATCAAGACCATCGGCAGCACCTACATGGCCGCGGGGGGACTGGCGCCCACAGCCGGGGCCAAGGTGGGTGGTCCGGGAGCCCCGCCCCCGCTGCCCTGGGCCCCATGGCTCCTCCCCCCGTGGGCCTCGTCCGTGGGCCTCGTCTGCCCTCCGCCCAGGATCAGGGTCAGCGACCGGCTCTCTCCAGACACGGCCTCCTGCGGGGAGTCGGCCCAGAGGCCCGTCCCGAGCGTCCCCGGCCCAGGGCAGAGCTGAAAGTCCACAGGTTGTCCCCCTCCCTCCCCAAAAGGCAGGAAAAGAGGAAGAAGAACAACAGAATGCAGCGAGTGGAGAACAGATGCGGATCTGGCAGACGCTGGTCCACCTGCACCAGTAACCCCACATTTGTTTACGTTATTGTTAATCCTCCCGGGGATATTTCCCATTGATCGTTAGCGGGTGTGGGAGGGAGAGGGAGACACAGGAGGAGAACGTGGGTGTGAGAGAAACACCGACTGGTTGCCTCCCGATCCGCACGCCCCGACCAGGGCCAGGGATGGAGCCTGCAACCGAGGGGCGTGCCCTTGACCAGAATCGAACCCAGGACCCTTGTGTCCGTGGGCCGACGCTCTGTCCACTGAGCCAGACCGGCCGGGGCCCAGCGATCCCTCTAATGGGAACGGTAAACACACCAAGTAGAAGACGGACGGACGGACAGAGTGGCTTATAAAAGAGACACACTAGGTTTTCCACAAGAAACACACTTTAAAGAAGTATCAAGGCACACGGAGATACATTAAAAACGGAAGGAGGTGGAAAGGTACACCGTGGTGCGGGAATAAAAAATGCAAGCAGCTGCCTCAGTTTCAGACAAGCAGACGTCAAAAGCCACCAGACAGAGAGAAAGTCATTGGGTAGCGATGAGGGCGTCACTCACAGAGACCCACCCCCGAGGAAAGCGGGGGACGCGCCAGGCAGACGCCTGTTACGGTTGGCGGTCAGCGCCCGCAGACCCCCGGGCTGACCTCGGCGCCTCCGTCTCAGGCCCCTACCTGTGCGGTGGGGTGCTGAGCACCCCCAGGGGCTGCAGGTGCCGAAAATCCCTGAAGAAGATGAGCCACTCCCGGGCCACAGAACGGCCCTGCGTGGAGGGCTGCCTGGTGGATGTGGGTCCCCGATCCCACTGGGGCTACAGGCTGGTCCCCGCCCCCGGCAGCTGGCCGGCGGGTGCCCCTGCCCCTCCGCCCTTGTTTCCCCCGAACGTGACGCCCGTGTCCGCCACGTGCAGGCTAAGAGGTGCGTCTCCGCCCACCTGGGCGCGCTGGCCGACTTCGCCCTGGAGATGTTCCATGTGCTGGACGAGATCAACTACCAGTCCTACAACGACTTCGTGCTCCGCGTGGGTAGGTGGCACCGGCCTGCACCCGCCCCAGCGCTGGCGGCGGGCCTCCCCGGGCGGCCGGGCCCCAGGCCTCGAGCGAAGGGGCCCCACCCCCCATCAGGGCGTCCTGAGGCTGTGAACAGCCGCGGGGTCTCATCCAGGAGCCCTGTTCTTTTAAAAAATATATATATTTTTATTGATTCCAGGGAGGAAGGGAAAGGGAGAGAGAAACCTCAATGATAAGAGAGCATCGTTGATCAGCTGCCTCCTGCGCGCCCCCCACTAGGGATCGAGCCCGCACCCTGGGGGTGTGCCCTTGACCGGAATCCAGCTCAGGACCCTTCAGTCCGCAGGCCGAGGCTCCATCCACTGGGCCACACCGGCCGGGCCAGGAGCCCTGTTCTTTCTGGGAAGGGAGCCTGGGGGGCACAGGGTCCCACAGCCCCCCTTGGCAGGACCCCGAAGGGGTGCACCCGTGAGGCGTGGGCCCGGCTTTAGGAAGGGGCGCTGGGCCAGGAGACCTGGGAACCTGCCATCCAGAAGGGGGCGCCGTCCCGGGAAGCGTCCCCCGAGCCCCATGGCTGTGCCTTCCAGGCATCAACGTGGGGCCGGTGGTGGCCGGTGTGATCGGGGCGCGCCGCCCGCAGTACGACATCTGGGGGAACACCGTCAACGTGGCCAGTCGGATGGACAGCACGGGCGTCCCGGGCAGGATCCAGGTCAGTCCCGGCCCCGGCCCCGAGCTGCCGGCCAGGAGGCCAGGAGCAGGGCCGGCCAGCAGCCAGGGCTCCCTGACCAGGGGCCCCGGGAATTTCAGGAATAAGGGTGTCACCTTCCTGTAGGTGGTGTGGGTGCTGGTCCTCCTGTCCTCACGCAGGCCGGCCGCCCGGGGCCCAGCTCCCAGCACGCGGGCCGGCCGCGTTGCTGTGTGTCTCAGGAGCCACAACAGGACATGGTGGGCAGACAGGGCCCTATGGAGAGGCACTTACTGTCCAGCGAGGGGTTGGCGTGCGGGCTGGGCTGGCGGGACCCACGTGCCCAGGGACGCAGGAGCCTGGCTCTGGGTAGACAGTAGATGCCGGTGGGGGGGCACCCCGGGGCGGGGTTGGGGGGGAGCGGGGCGGGGGCGGGGGGAGGGGGGGACCCTCCGGCGTGAGGAAGGAGGCAGCAGACAGTCCCGTCTTCTACGGTTTACGGAACTTTATGATAAAGAGCTTCCTTGTTTTTTTACCATTTTTCTAATTTTGTGACGGGAGTTCTTTTGGCTGAAATGCCGGCTGGGAGCCTGAGGTTCAGGGCACTCGAGTCATGTCCTGTTTCCTTGGGGGTCGGCCCAGCTCCCTCTGCACCGGTGACCCCACACCTACATCAGGGGTCCCTGGATGTTGATTTGCCCTCAGGCACTGAGGGTTCTGAGGCAACGGGCGACAGGACAGCCTGGTGTGGCTCCCGCTGGGCTCTGCCCTCCCCCCTCCTACTGAGCTGGTTCCTGCCCGTCCCCCGACCCAGAGACGTCCCGGTCACTGGGCCGAGAGCCCCGGCCGGGCAGCCCGTCATGCTCTGTCCCAGGCTTCCCCCCTCCCACAGTGCCCGGTCCACGTGGGGCCCTCCAGTGCCTGCTCCCCCTCCGTCCTCCCCGGGAGGGGCCAGCGTGGCCATGGGGGGAGCAGAGGCCTGGAGCCGCCTGAGGTCACCACCCCTCCCTGCAGGTGACGGAGGAGGTGCAGCGGCTGCTGCGGCCGGGCGGCTACCACTTCCTGTGCCGGGGCAAGGTCAGCGTCAAGGGCAAGGGCGAGATGCTCACCTACTTCCTGGAAGGCAGGACCGACGGAAACTCGCAAACCAGGCCCCCGAACTCGGAACGGAAACTGTGTCCCTACAGGAGAGCCGGCCACCAGACCAGCCTGGCCGCGGGCCGCCCCCCGGCCTCCATGGCCGGCCTCCCCGTGGGAGCCGGGCTGGGGGCGCCGCAGGGCTTGGGGCTCGGCCCCCGGCCCCCAGGCCCACACCCGCCCCCGGGAGCGGCCGGGAAGGAGGCTTAGGTGGGGCGCCGGGCAGAAGGCTCAGGGCCTCGGGCACTCGGTCACTCCGGCAGGAGCAGCCCGGCCAGCAGAGCAGGGCTGGGTCGTCGGCTGGGCTGGGAAGGGGCGCCGTCCAGGCCGGACCCAAAGCAGCTGGGCAGTGACTGGGGGTGGACCCCGCCCGCACGGACTGAGGCCGCCTGGCGGCTGTGACCTGGGCCGGTCGGCCGGCAGGGTGAGCGGTCAGACCTTGGGGACCCGCCAGGTCGCCGAGTGGTCATGAGCCGGCCTGCAGGAGCCGGGGTGGCCCCGAGGGCGGGCGGGGCCAGGCCCAGAGCCGCGGGGCCTTGGATGGACGGTTTGAGGAGAACTGAGGGGCCCGGGCCCACGACCGACCAGCGGAGGGGGCGGCTGCTGGCCTTCAAGAGTCGCCGTCCGTGAGAGCCGGAGCCCGGGCCTGCAGCCACGTCTCTGCGTGTGACACGCGTCCCTCTGTGCGGGCCCCCTGCCGCCCGAAGCCGGGCGCCCTCGCTCTCTGGGCCTCTGGGCCGTGGGTCGGTGGGTCCGACTTTCCGAGTGGCGGCAGACAGTGGCGCCAGGCTGTGCTCGCTGTGAAGACCCGTGAAGACCCGCGACGCCCACAGCCGTGAGCAGCTTCCCGGACAGAAGGCGTTCCTCCGGGAGAACCAGCCCCAGACGCGTGTTTCAGAGTTTACGATCCTGGATCCAGGGGGCTCTGCTGCAGAAGGCGGGACGGTGACGGCGGGTGGGCGCGGGGATGCGGGCCAGGCCGGGCTCCGCAGTGCGCGTGGTGGGCCTCCCTCCTGGGGTCCCGCTGTGTCGGCCAGAGCAGGTGGGGGCAGGTTGGGCCCCGCCGTGGACAGGCTGCCGCACACACGGGCGCTTTGCAGAGGGTCATGGGGTACATACGCTACCTGGGGCTCGCGTGGCCTCATGTCCCCTCAGAGGTGGAGGAGGGTGCAGGGCCATCCCGGGATGAACGGCTGTAGCCCAGGGAGGTGAGGGCACCCCAGCTGCCACCTCCACGAAGCGGTCGTCACCCCACAGCCACAGGCTGAGTTCGGCACCTGCCCCAGTGAGTGGGGGCGGGTGGGCCAGGTGACAGCCCAGCTGGACACACACACCAGATGCCCCGTGAGACCCACCCGTCACCTGTAGGGGCACCTGGTCCACGGAACCACGTGCAAAGCCGGGAACGCTCTGAGCGCACCTCCGCGGCCAGGCCTGGCGGGGGACGGCCCTCCTCCGTTGTGCTCACACGCGTGTTGCCTTACGTGTCTAGCCGTGGACGGTGTTCACGCACAGAGGCTGGACCTTCTGGGGATGCTCAGCTCCCCACAGGGCGCCGGGTGCCGGGCCGCCGTCACCCCCAAAGCGCAGGACAGCCTGAGGCGCCGTGTTTCCAGCGCTCGCACCCCTGCCTGGCGACCCTCCACCCTGTGGCATGACCCCCCGTGTCCCACGTGACCCCGTGTGCCCTGCATGGCCCTCGCATGCCCTGCCGACCTCAGTGGGGCAGCACGCAGCCCGAACTTCCAGACGCTCCCACAGACCCCGGCCCGGCGCCCCCTCTGCCCCCCGGACCCCGCACGGCCCTGCGTGTCCACCAGCCTCCAGGCCCCAGGCCCCGAAGCAATAACTAACCAACACAGAGACGCCTGGGGCCCTGCGCCCACTGCCGACCGGCTCAGGCCCCGCTGGGTTCGCCCGGATTGCGGGCCTGTGGGGCCAACACACAGCCCCCCGCCTCCTGCACACCCCACTTGGGCGGCCCCTCGGTGGCGGCTTCTGGCACCGGGCGGCGAGCAGGGGCCAGCGTGCCATCGGTGGCCTCTGGGCTGCCCTCCGGCTGCGTGGGCTCTGGGCTTGCTCGGTCCCGCCGGCCACACTCACCACGTTTGTGTCCCCGAGAGGAGCACTGTGCATCCGTGGTCCCCACAGCCTCCCGCACGCCCTGCTGTTACCGCCACCCCCCAAGGAACGGGGGGTGGGGGGGCAGCCCCAGGGGCTCCAACCGGACGAGGTTTTCCCTCTGAGTGTCAGGGACTGAGAGGCACAACCCAGACAGCCCCTCACGGCGCTGCGAGCTCACCGCCCACATTGGGGTCCCTCCCGCCCACACTGGGGTCCCCCCGGCTGCACTGGTGTCATCTCACCTGGACCTGTGTCCTCTTGGCTGAGCCCATCTCCTTTAGCGACTGATCCCTCAGGACATAAACGGGTCAGCGGGAGGTCCCTGCCGGGTCTCGGCCTGCCCTGCGGCTCTGCACAGCCTGTCGTCCCCCCAGGAACACTGTCCTTCAGCACAGGGCCAGGCCCTCGGACAACAGACACAGAACGGGGCCCCCAGGCGCCCCCGCACCACACACACCTCTCCAGTGAACTGGACTCCACCCAGCTCCCAACTCCTGGTCAGAGCCACCCAGTGTCCTTGTCACCTGCTGGCGGGTGTAGAAGGTCAGAGGACAGACTCCTGGGACGATGACGGGGTGCGGAGCTGGGGACCCCGAGGGCAGGCGTCCGCCTCCCGACCCCGAGTCCCGGCCTGGCAGCTCAGATCCAGTGCTTCCATCTCCACAGCAGGCCCTTCCTGGGAGTTGGTGTTTGAATGAGGGGTGACCTAGACCCCTGCCCCCCAGAGACCTGTCCAGCCTTGGGCTTCATGCCGCGTGCAGGGGGCGCACAGGGCACTTGGCCTGCGGCAGCCGGAACTTGTCTCTCGCCTCCCACCAGCACCCCCCACGCAGCCCCAGCACGAAGCACACTTCTCAGGGGCCGTCCCCGTCCGTCCGGGAGCCCGAGGGCGCCCCGTGGCCTCCCCCAGCGGGCGCCTCGCTCCCTGCGCCCTCCTGCAGCGGGGAGCGGTGCTGCCTTCATCCCCGTGAAACCGTGACACCCAAGCCATTCGCACGCGGTCGCATGCGTGAAGCCCTGTGAGTGTGACTTTAGTTTGCGTTTGGAGCGCCCAGCATGCACAGCAAGGGGCCGCCCGCCTCGGGCCACCTGCCGGCTGGCCGCAGCGTCCCGACAGGGCGGGCCCGGAGCCTGAGCCAGGGCCCTGCGCCCGCCCGCCTGCCCGCCCACCCCAGCACACGGATCGCACACCACCTCGCACACGCGAAGATGCGGAATGTAACCTCTTAGCGTAGACCCCACGCACTGAGGGAAAGCCGCGCCCACCGCGGGCCCTTCCTCCGGGGCCTGGCTGGGAAGGTCCGTGCCCATCTGTGCCCGCAGGGCTGTCCCCCGCCGGGCTGTCCCCCGCAGGACGCCGAGGCCGGGCCGGGAGCACGCGGACGCGGGCACGGACGGTGACGTCGCCGTCTCCCGGCAGATTTGTATGATCAACACGGGTCTATTTTTATGCCAACTGCACACTGTAGCGGCCAGTCTTTTCCAAGATCGTTACCTTGAGACAAGTCGTTGAACACTTTGTCCTATTTTTATTTGAAAAAACAAGTGAATGGGCTGACATGTTAAATGTGAATGTACGTTTCTTAATCGCAACTTTTCTACCGAGTGTTTGCACTACACTTTCTGGAATCTTAACAAAAGTAAAGGAAGACCTTGCTTGACTAAACCTGTGCCATTTTCATGGGAAACCGGGCGCATGTTCTCAGGACCCGCCCGCGTCGCTGACCTGCAGGGCAGACGTGATTTCCTAACCCCCCCCCCCCCATGACAACAACCACGTGTGGAGCCAGGACGAGACGCTGTGGCCTTAAGGAGCGTGTGTGGACACCCAGGAGCGCGGCTGGATGGCCAGGGCCGGGGACGTCACGTGGGGGGTGAGGAGCTAGACCAGGTGTTGAGGGAGGGTCCTCCATCAGTGGCCTGGCTGGATTGTTGGCTGGAACTGGACTTGGCGGGCCCAGGTCAGGCCCAGGGCGGGCCCAGGAGAAGAGGAGCCTGACCGCGGTGAGTGGTGAGGTGGGGTTTGTCCCAGCCACAGTGACCGGGACACAGCTAATGCCCGTCCCACCCCTGAATTGGAGGCAAGAGAGACGGGGTGGGTGCAGGGCTCACAGTGTCCTGGAGCTGGTAGGCTGGGGTGAGGCGGAGTGGACGGCTGGGCCAGACCCTGGGACCACGGGAACGTGGTCGAGGCATCAGCGTGTGTCTGGAAACGCGGCAGAGACAGGTCACGTGACTGCATCGCGCAGACGGTGGTACGGTTTATTTTTAACTAGAGGCCTGTTCACGAAGAGATTCGTGCAATAGGCCTTCCTTTCCCCTGGCTGCCGGCACCGGTTTGCCTCTGGCACCCGGGGCCCAGGCCTTCGCTCTGGCCGGAGCCCGCCCCGGGACGTCAGGCCTCTCTGCTCCACTGGCCCCGGGCTGTCAGGCTTTGCTCCACCACTTGGAGCCTATGTATGCAAATTAACTGCCATCTTTGTTGGCGGTTAATTTGCATATTGTGCTGATAAGCCAATGGGAGGCGTAGCGAAGGTATAGTCAATTACCATGTTTGTCTATTAGATAGGACAGCAAGGATGGAAAGACACCAAAATATTTAAAAAGTATTTTTTAAAATTAATTTCAGAGAAAGGGAGAGGGTGAGAGAAACTTCAATGATGAGAATCATGGATCGGCTGCCTCCTGCACGCCCCCTACTGGGGGTTGAGCCTGCAACCTGGGCGTGTGCCCTGCCCGGGAATGGAACCGTGACCTTCTGGTTCAAAGGTCACTGCTCACCCGCTGAGCCAGGCCGGCCGGGCCCCAAAGCAGTCATGTCCAGCTTATGCAATAATAGGCAGTTTCCTGCTTCTTTCCACTTTTATTTGAAAAATTAATGTATCATTTTTAAATGCATTTTTTAATCTTCACCTAAGAAGTGAGGACATTTTCCCATTGATTTTTAGAGAGAGTGGGAGGGGAGAGCAAGAGAAACATCGACACGAGAGAAACCCATCAGTGGGTTGTCTCCCACTCACACCCCGACCAGGGCTGGGATTCAACCTGCAACTGAGGTCTGTGCTCTTGACCAGCAATCAAACCCAGGACCCTTTGTCTGCAGGTGGGTGCTCTAACCATTGAGCCACTGGCCAGGGTGAATAAACGTATCTATTTTATAATCTGATCATTGTTATAACAAAGGGAAAAGTGAACAAGTTGAAAAGTCAGTTTATACAGGAGGAACTCGCTCAGAAAATGTGCATTTAAACACACTGCCCAGGAAATGCATGCTCACCACACACACACACACACACACACACACGGCATTGCTGTGCTGGTGGAAATGCATGCTCACCATCCCCCCCCCAAACACGGCATCTCGGTGTTGGTAGAAGTGACCCTCCCTTCCGTGGGGGCCTCCAAGGGGCTGTGGCGCCTCCAGGGAGACCAGGGTTGCCGCCCGCCTCCCAGAAACCCTTGCCTGCCGGGCACCTGCGTGGCCTGCTGTCTCCACCCGGCCTCAGTCTGTCTGGGGTGCCCTGTTACAGGGTGCCTCATGTTGGGGTTTGAGGCCGGGTTTCTGTCTGACTGAAGCTTGGGGGCCATCTCTCCTCCCTACGCGTGAGGGTCAGCAGTGCCCCCCCCCAACCCCTCCCCCCGGTCCTGGGACTGTGCTGGGCGGGAGGCAGGTTACCCGCTGTGCGCCCCGACCCGTGCGCCCGCAGGTCCCAGAGGCCGCAGGTGGAGCGGCTCCGGCTTTTCCTGGAGCGACACCCTGAGCTCCTGCTCTTCACCTGCAACACGTCACCGAGTCCCCCCAAGTCACCCGGCTGCCCCCCCCGCCCCCTCGTCTCAGGTGGCACCTCCAGGACCACACCTGGGGCTGAGTGACAAGATCTTTATCAACAGCCCCCCTTTGTGGCACAATGTGGGGGGCATCAAGTGCTGAGGAGGCGTGGGGTGCACGGGTTGCCGGGTGCAGGGACGGACGGGAGGACGGGGACAGGGGTCGCGGGGCGGTCACTCGTCCTGCACCGTGAGGTCGTGCTGTGTGGCCTCCTCGATGCTCTGCAGCTGGCGGGCCTCCCACTGCCTCACGCGCTCCGTCTGTGGGGAGCGGGCTCTGAGGGCGTCCGCTGGACGAGCTGGTGGGACAAGACCCCCCTACAGCCCCCCTCCCCCCGTCGGTGGGTGGGCACCACCCGACCGGGAGCCAGAGGGGCTTGGCTGCCAGCACGGCCCCCCCCCCACCGCCCCACTGTCTGTCACCCAAGCTCTGGAGGGCGGCTGAGGGCACAGAGGGGGCCAGAGCAGCCCCTCAGGAACCTCGGGACCAGCAAGGGGGACCCCAAGGGGCTGGGAGAGCCCAGAGCAGCCGGGCCTGGGGCCCTCCCACCCACTGACGAGGATATAAGGACCCTTGGTGGGCGTGGGCCCGGGCCCGGGCCAGGGGCGGCCGCAGGGGGCAGGAGTGGTCATCAGCCCGTCCCAGGGCAGTGCGGGGGGAGTCTGGGGAGCAAGGAGATGCTGGGCTCATGTTTTACCTACACAACCCAGGCCCCCCTGGAGGCAGTGACCCGTCCTCAGCCTGGGACCTCCCCACGCCAGGCCCAGCTGTGCCCTTCCTCCACCCCCACAGGCCGCCTCCCGGGGACCCCGAGCTCCCGGGGACGGGGACGGGGATGGGGACGGGCTGGGGTGGGCCTACCACAGCCGCCAGCTTCCTCAGGTCCCGGCGCCTCCGCCCGGTGGTGTCAGAGATCCCGGGCAGCCCTTGGCCTCTTCTCCAGCTCCCCGGGGGCTCTCCCGGCTTCGCCTTTCGCTGGGGCTGTGGCCGCCGCGGGTGGGGGACCTCGGTGGGCCCGGGTGGCTCCCCCTCTGGCGCCTGGGGGCTGCGGTCGGGCCCCGGCTGCACACTGGACTCCTCGGAGGCCCAGATGGTAGAAAGCCGCTGCCTTCGGAGGACGGGGGACGGCAGGTCCCGGGAGGCACGCCCAGGCCGCGGGGACCCGTCTCCAGGGCCCCTTCCCGGGCGGTAGGACCTGGGACCCCGCGGGCTCCGGCTCCGGCCAGGGAAGCCCTCCGCGGGGGTGCTGTGCTTCAGAACGGCCCCCGCGGCTCTCCACGCGGAAGGCGGGTCCTCGTCCTCAGAGGAGCTCCACTCAAACACCTGTGCGAACAGAGCACCCGTGTGGCTTCCTGGGGGGCAGGGAGCTGAGCTGAGGGACAGGACTGGGAGGCGGACTGTCTTGCCCGGCCGGGTGGCTCAGGGGTTGAGCATCAACCTGTGAACCAGGAGGTCAGGGTTCGATCCCCGGTCAGGGCACAGGCCCGGGTTGCGGCTCCATCCCCAGTGTGGGGCGTGCAGGAGGCGGCCTATCGATGATTCTCTCTCAGCACTGACGTGTCTCCCTCTCCCTTCCTCTCTGACATCAATAAAAAATATTAAAAAAGAAAACAGACTGTCCTGAATTAAGAATAATGTTTTTGGGGGGGAGAGAAGTACAAAACGTCGTCAATAAAATCAGCTTGACATTTACACTCAGCATCAAGCAAATCCGCCGACACGCCCTGCAGGTGTGCGTGTTCATTGGCAGCAGGTGGGTGGGCCTGGGCCCTCGCCCAGCATGGAGGCCGCAGGTCCCCCTGCCTCGGGGTCACCCCCGCGGGACACGCGTCCACTCTCTCGTGGGAGCGGCACCCGCGGGTGACCGGACACGCGAGGCGTCTCAGAGCGTGTGCACACGCTGGTAACGACGAGGCAGTGCTTGCGGAGACTCACTTCCCTTTCAGGATGGAGAGCCGGCGGCGAAGCGTGGACACATGTTCTGGGACACCCTGTGTCCCCCCACAGGACACCACTGACATGCCGAGAGCTCACAGATGAAACAGTTCAGTGTTTTCCCCAAAAACAGCCTCAGGACCCCAGGCCGGCCGGCGGGTGACCTCTGCCCGGGAAGCACCAGCAGGGAGTGCTGCTCCTCATCTCCGCCTCCTCCGGCCGGTCATTTGGAAAAACCCAGACGAAGGGTCGGTTCTCACACCTCCCCCGACACAAGTCGGCCGGGGGTTGCAACGGCACTATTTAAAAAGTCATAAATTACTCAGAAAGAAAGAATTTAAAAACCTTACATCACCTCGTTTTCCAAGAAAATTCCAAATGGATATAAGATGGAAATGTACAAAACAAAGGCATAAAAGTTCTGGAAGGAACTATGGGTGGCTCCTCTGTAAACGTGTCAGAAGCCGGCAAGATAAAAAGCTAAAGGAAACAGAATTTAACAAATCCTGTGCCCCAGCTGGTGTGGCTCAGGGGATAGATCGTTGGCCGGGAGACCAGAGGGTCCCGGGTTCGAGTCAGGTGGAGGGCATGTACCTCCTTGCAGGCTCCTCCCCGCCGGGCCCGGTCGGTGCCGCAGGAGGCAACCAGTCTGTGTCCCTCTCTCGTCCACTCTCTCTAAAAATCAATGGAAAATTATCCCTGGGTGAGGATGAACAAAGTAATAAAAATAAGTAAAATCCCAGGAAAACGAGGAACCTGAGAAATTCTAGAAGCAGCTAAGAAAATTCGATGTTTCCTACTGCGGGTCACACCCACTCACCAACGAGGACAGGAGGCGCCCCTGGGGCCTGGGGAGGGGCCCCTGGTGTGGGTGGTGGGTGGTGGGGTCCCTGGGGGGGGCGAAGCGCAGGGTCAGAGGTCCGGCCTGCACGTCACCTGCACCTGCCTCTCCCCTGGAACCTGGGACGCCCTCCCGTCTCGGTCTCCCGGGGGCCAGACCCGGGACAGTGACCAGCCCGACGGGGAGGGGCCGGGGAGGACGGGGCGGCCCAGGAGGGGGGGCAGGGGTCTCAGGGCGGAAGGGTAGGGGACCCAGAGTCCCTGCTGCAGGTCAGGGCGATCCAGAGCGAGACGGACCGGCCTCCCCCGCCCGCCCCTCCCGCCCCCCTCCCCCCCTCCCGTCTACCTGCGCCCCTGCCCCCTCTCCCTCCGCCCCCCCCGTCTACCTGCGCCCCTGCCCCCTCTCCCTCCGCCCCCCCCCGTCTACCTGCGCCCCTGCCCCCTCTCCCTCCGCCCCCCCCGTCTACCTGCGCCCCTGCCCCCTCTCCCTCCGCCCCCCCCGTCTACCTGCGCCCCTGCCCCCTCTCCCTCCGCCCCCCCCCGTCTACCTGCGCCCCTGCCCCCCTGTCCCCCCGCCCCCCCGTCTACCTGCGCCCCTGCCCCCCTGTCCCCCCGCCCCCCCCCGTCTACCTGCGCCCCTGCCCCGCTGCCCACCTGCGCCCCGGGCTCCATCCCGCTCCCGCCGCCTGGCCCGCGGGTGGGGCTGCTCACCTGGACGCGGTTTTCACCTGTCGCCCCCCCAGCCGCGCAGGCGCAGGAGGCGCGGCCCGCGAGCCGAGGGGCTGCACCTGCGGGCGCCTCTTTCCCGACTTCCGGGCGGCGGACCCGAGGCGACGGGAGGTCGCCAACTCGGTCTCCAAGGCAACGGGGGGGGGGCTCAGGCCGCGTCCGAGGGCCGGGCGCCGCCCCCCCCGCGCCCCCCTCACTGGTGACCCCGAAACCTGAAGCCTGTTACCCCATTTCCGGGAGGGGAAGACTGATCCCGGGGCTGCTCACAGGGCGCCCGGCCTGCCGGCCCCGCAGGTCCTGGAGAAGCCCCCGAACCGCCGACCTCACCGCCCCCCCCCCCCCCCCCCGTCTCTAAGCTCAGGAACCCCCGGTCCGGCCCGAGGCTGCGAGGAGGGGCCTCCACAGGGTCCTGTCCAGGCGGCACTGCCCACCGCAGCCCACCCGCCGGTGCCCAGCCAGCAGCCGCCTCCCCGCTGGGCAGGGCCCCCCGACTCCAGCCCCGCACCCCCTGTCTCTGCCCGGGGGGCGGGGGGGGGCGGGGAACATTACCTTTAGGAGCCCCGAGTGCAGCAACGCAGGCCGAGTCCATAAACTAGGGCTCGTCCACGGGCGGAAGACTGCGGCCAGTGGTCTGCGTGTGCATCTGTGCGCACCCATGTAAGCATGTAACCATGTAAGCACCGCAGGCAGGTGCACACGCAGACAAGGCGTCCGTGTCCGTGACTGTTACACGGGGAAGTCTGTACAACCGACAGCGGTGTGGGGCCATTTCAGAAATTACACACGGCACACACACGGCACACACACGGCACACACACGGCACGCACACGGCACACACACGGCACACACACGGCACACACACGGCACGCACACACCACACACACGGCACACACACGGCACACACACGGCACGCACACGGCACACACACGGCACACACACGGCACGCACACGGCACACACACAGCACACACACGGCACGCACATGCTACACACACACCGCACAGCACACACATCCGGAAAGAGACCAAAAGGAAATGGCAGCGGGCGATATCTCCACGGCAGGAGGGTGGGCACGTGGTAACATCGCTACATCCACTTCACTTCAGCCCGGCCGGTGGCTCAGTGGTTGAGCCTCGACCTAGGAACCAGGAGGTCAGCAGGAGGTCAGCAGGAGGTCAGGGTTCGAGTCCCCATCAGGGCACAGGCCCGGGTGGCGGGCTCCATCCCCAGTGGGGGGCCTGCAGGAGGCAGCTGATCCATGATTCTCTCTCATCATGGATGTTTCTATCTCTTCCTCTCCCTTCCTCTCTGACATCAATAAAAAAATCCATTTTACTTTTTCTGAAAAGAACGCGTAGTTAGTAAAGAATAAAAAAAAATAGAGCTCACAGGTGCGGCCCATCCTGTCCCAGATGGGGAAGCCGCGGGCCTCAGGTGTCCACAGTCCCAGAGCCTGCCAGGTGGGGGCGGCTGGATGCTGGCCCGTGTCCTGTTTTCTCCCTGCGCTCGGCCACCCCCGGTGCCCCGACCTCCTGACCCCCGGGTGCCCTGACCTCCTGGCACACAGGCACCCTGGTTTGAGGACAGTGAGGGCTTTTGTTTGTGTTGTGAACGGAAACATTGTGAAATCTACAGTGTGTGTCCAGCAGCACATTGTCGGTCACAGCGTCACCTGCCCCAGGCCTCCCCAGCGCACCCGGCAGCCCCTGGGGAGCAGGTGGGGGCCCGGACACGGCCTGCAGGGGCTCCCAGCTCAGCCGGTGGCAGGAGCCAGCCCCACACACTCATGAACATTCATGGAAGAAATGACACTTCTCTCAGTCTTCCAGGAGACAGAGCGGAGGGGATAATTCCTGAGTCCTTCTGCGAGGCCAGCATCGCCCTGACGCCAAAACCAAATGACAAAGATGAACAACCACAGACCCAGTCTCATGGGCATAGATGCAAACGTCCGCAATAAAATGGGAGCACGTCAGGCCGGCCCGGGTGGCTCAGTGGTTGAGGGCCGACCGATGAACCAGGAGGTCACAGTTTGATCCCAGTCGGGCAGAGTTGTGCTGTGGACTCGATCCTCAGTAGCGGGCGTGCAGAAGGCAGCCGACCCACGATTCTCTCTCATCATTGATCTCTCTCCCTCTCCCTCTTCTTCCTCTCTGAAATCAATAAAAACATATAGAAAAAAATGTATATACTCACCTGTGTCTGCTTATAACAAATCAAATCTAACAAGATATGAAAAAATTATATGTCATGACCAAGTGTCCAAGGCTCAAGAATCAATCAATGTGATCCATCGTGTCAACCGGCTAAGGAGACATCACAGACATCCCCAGAGATACAGAAAGAGCATTAAAGACTCCAGCACCCATTCATGATCAAACTCTCCATGCCTGCTTGCTGGCTGCACCCCGTGAATGCACACTGTGATGCGAGCGAGACACCCCCACAAGGGACTAGAGACTGTAATGTAGGAGGCTGCCCCCCAATGTAGGAGGCTGCCCCCCTAATGTAGGAGGCTGCCCCCCTTTCTGTGCCAGGTCCCTGCTCTTTGCCAGGTCAGAGAAGCAGACTGTGCTCATGGGGGGGGGGTGCACCACAGCACCTGCCAGTCGTGGGGGGCGGTCCCGTGGGGGGACTTGGTCAGGGGACCTGATGTTTGGAGGGGCTGGCGGGCGGTGGGCACAGTAAGGCCCTGGGCGTGATGATGTGACAAGAGCCGGTGCCTTTGCACATTGGCTCGCGGGGGGAGGGGTGGGGGGGCGGGGGGACGGGGGGGGTGCTTCTGCGTGGGCAGCGGTGGCCTTGACTCCACTGACATCATCCCCCATCAGTCCCGGGAGCAAAACATATTTTTGTTTTCCTTCCTCGAGGGTTCAAAACACCGTCCGGAGGGTCCCGTCCAGGCCTCTCCCGTGAGGCCGCCTGTGGCCTTGGCCCCGCATTGTTTTTCTGAGCGGATTGCCCAACGCCCAGCACCGGCTGGGCCGTGAGTCAGCCCGGGCGGGAGGCCAAGGGGGGAACGGGGTGACGACAGGCCCTGCGGGTCTCATCGCCCCAGCCTCTGCGGAGCTCGCACACTCGGGGCTGACTGTGCGACCCATTTCACAGGCGGGGACACTGAGGCCCGGGGGGTTACAGAATGGGCCAGGGTGCCAAGCCAGGTGCTGGCGGGCAGTCTGGGGGGGCCATGGTGCGGCTGGGGGAGTGCCGCTCCAGGCCCCGCCCCTCGGGGCTCCCAGCATCCTGGGGCTCAGCTCCTTGGCCTCCCTGGGAGACCCCCTCTCCACAGGTGCTGCCACCCAGGCGCGTGTGATGGGAAGGGTGCTGACATGATTGCCAAACACTGAGCGTGTCCCACGCGGGTGGTGCCCCCTGGGGTAGCACAGGGGCTACCTGGGCGCCCTGCTCAGCGGGCGCTGACTCCGCGGGGAGGGGGCGGGTTTGGGGGCATCTGCCGGCTCGCAGCTCCAGTGGGAGCAGTTGCTATACCCGAGTCCACATGGGGCAGCGTCGGAAACTTCCCCTGTGGCCCCAACTACCACTCAGCCCCGCACTCCCCCACCCCGGGCGCCCCGACTGCCCTGAGCTGAAGGCACTTTGACCCCCACCTCAGATGCCTGCAGGCTGGGCTCCCTCCCAAGGCCTGGGCAGCTGGGCACCAGTCCATAGGGTGACCCCAGCCCCCCAAACCGCCCTCCCTGCTCCTGCACCTGTGACCAGGGCAGCCGCTCTCGGGGTCCAGTGGTGGGTCACGTGGGCCTGGTGCTGGGCAGGGCAGCCTCAGGCCCCCAGCCTGGCGGGGAGACAGGCCCAGGGGGTGCAGGCAGCTCTCCCCTGGCGCTCACCTGCTGGCAGCCCCGGGCACAGAGGGAGCGCCTCAGCCCACCCAGGAGCCCGGGGAGCTTCTCAGAGGAGAGGACACCATGGGCCCTGAGGGAGAGGGCGGGGGGGGGGGGGCGCTCCGGGGCCCCGGGGCGGGAGGCCTGGCACAGCCTCAGGAAGGCCTGCGGGGACGGGCTGTGCAGGAGGCTCCGTCCTGTGCAGGAGGCTCCGTCCTGGGCCTTCCCTGTCTCCCTGCAGCTGTGCCCGGCCTCCCACCGGCCTCTGTGAGTCCTGGCCGCTCGGGGACCATCCACCGCCTCTCGAGCTGGCTGTGCTCTCCTTCCTCACGGCGTTTGTCACGTCACCTTCCCGTGGAAAGTCTGGGTTCGCTGTTTTTCTGCCCCTAGATCCTCCCCAGAGAGAGAACCCCTGGTCATTCCCTAAACACAGCACCCTCTTCCCAGCCTCCTGCCTTCCCCATGGCTGTCTGCCCCCCGCGGCACCCCGGGCACTGCTGTCTGCCCCCACTGCACCCCCTGCACTGCTGTCTGCTCCCACTGCACTCCCTGCACTGCTGTCTGCCCCCACTGTACCCCCTGCACTGCTGTCTGCCCCCCACTGCACCCGGACACTGCTGTTTGCCCCCCACTGCACCCCCTGCATGGCTGTCTGCCCCCACTGTACCCCCTGCACTGCTGTCTGCCCCTCACTGCACCCCTGCACTGCTGTCTGCCCCCCACTATACCCCGGGCACTGCTGTCTGCTCCCACTGCACTCCCTGCACTGCTGTCTGCCCCCACTGTATCCCCTGCACTGCTGTCTGCCCCCACTGTACCCCCTGCACTGCTGTCTGCCCCCCACTGCATCCCCTGCACTGCTGTCTGCCCCCCGCTGCACCCCAGGCCCTTCCTTCCATGACCTTGTTTTGCTTGTTGCTGGGAGAGGCTGTGCCTGTGGGCGCACCCACAGCCTGGAGCCCCACAGCTGAGAGGATTCAGCACATTAATTTTAAGTGTGTTGTTCTTGTCAGTGTGAGCGCCTGCGTGCACAGAACTAGGAGTCTCAGGGTGACGTGAGCCAGGAGGCCCAGGACGCACGAGGGGACACGGCCTCTCCCTCCGTCTCCGGACTGCCCTCCCTCCCCCAGGAGGCACTGACTGGTTTCTTACCTGTTCTTCTCAAGAGTTCCAATCCAGCCAGAGGGACAGGGACGGGGCTATTCATACGGGGTACTGAACACAGACAAGGGCATATCCTGTACCTTCTCGTTAAAAAAATATTTTTATTGATTTCAGAGAGGGAGGGAGAGAGAAACATCAATGATGAGAGAGAATCATGGATCAGCCGCTTCCTGCACGCCCCTGACTAGGGATGGAGCCCACAACCTGGGCCTGTGCCCTGACCGGGAATCGAACCAGTGACCTCCTGGTTCATAGGTGGACGCTCACCACTGAGCCACGCCGGCCGGGCATGTACCTTCCCATTTTTACTTGGAAATTGTACTTAACTCGCGTGTTTACTCATCTCAGTACATACAGGGCTGCCTGGTTTTGGGGACCGGGCTCCCCAGAAAACCTGCAGCTCCTGGGGACAGGGGGGCCGCCTCACGGTCTTTGAAGGGACTGGGACATTTGTCTTGCAACCCAGGAGAAGATCCAAGAAAGGAATTTTAACTAAAGAGAAGCCCTTGGTATTTGGTTCCCGATACACATTTGGTCTGAGTCAGAAAGTCCCAGGGGGCCCGGAGTATGGGTGCTCCGGCCTCTGGGTGTCCCGGGGTCTGGGTGCCTGGGGTCTGGGGTGCTTAGGTTCTGGCTGCCTGGGGGTTTGGGTGCTGGGGTCTGGGTGCCCCTGCAGCCTCGAATTCTGTCCGGCCCCAGCCCTCTCCTCTCTGGAGGTGCAGTTGCCCACCTCGCCCAGGGAAGGACGCTCCTGCCCCCCCTCCTGGGAAAGGCAGGGAGACTGGAGTTCCAGGTGGAGCCTCCTTCCTGCAGAACCAGCCGGCCAGCCGGAGTCTTAGTCCTAAGCGGCTGCCCCTGTTCTCCCCAACCTCGGTTTCCCCATTTGAAAACGGCGGGGGGGGGGGGGCGTGGAGGCCTGGCCAGTGTGGCTCAGTGGTTGAGCATGGACCTAGGAGTCAGGAGGTCAGGGTTCCGGGTTGTGGGCTCGATCCCCAGTGTGGGTTGTGCAGGAGGCGGCCGATCCATGATTCTCATCATTGATGTTTCTCCCTCTCCCTTTCTCTCTGAAATCAATAAAAATATATTGAAAGAAAAGCAAAGAAAAGAAAGGAAAGGGCAGGGGCTTCCCGTGGCCCAGCCGGGCTCCTTGGAACAGAACGGGCCGCCCCGGCCACGCGCTCCGGTGAAGACTCGGGCGGGAACTCACAACAACCGGACAAACAGCCGAGACCCGCGCTGACGCTCCCGCCCACGCCTGGCGCGGGGCCTGGAGCGCAGAGCAAAACAAACTTATTTTGAACCCGGTCCCCCCCCATCCCCCGCCCCGCCCCGCGCGGCCCCGCCGATCATTAACCTCCGGCAGGTGCGCGCCGAGCCCTTCATAAGGCGCCGGCTCCCGGCGAGCATCACCCGCAGCGTCCGCCTGGCCCCGAGCACCCGCCGCTGCAGCCACTGCCCGCCCCGCCGCCGCCCGCCGCCCGCCGCCCGCGATGGCCATGCCCGCGGCCCCCGCCGCCGCCGCGCCGCTCCTGCTCCTGCTGGCCGCCCTGCTCGGCGAGGCGGCCGCCGAGGAGCCCCACCTGTGGCAGTGCGCGCCCTGCTCCGCCGAGAAGCTGGCGGCCTGCCCGCCGGTGCCCGCGTCCTGCCGGGAGCAAGCCCGGCCCTACGGCTGCGGCTGCTGCACCATGTGCTCCCGGCGCCGGGGCGAGGCCTGCGGCATGACCTCTGCGCGCTGCGAGAGCGGCCTCACCTGCCAGCCGCGCCCCGGCGAGACCCGGCCGCTGCTGGCGCTGTCCCGGGGCCGGGGCATCTGCATGCCCGAGTCCGTGGTCACCGAGCCCAGCGCCGAGGCCGCAGGTACCGCCTCCCTCCAGCGAGTTCACCCGGGGGGCGGGGGCGGAGGAGCGAGCCTGGGCGCAGGGGGCGGCCTCTAGCCTGTAGCCAGGGGGGCGCCGCCCGGCCCACACCCGGAGTGTGGGGCCCAGCCTGTCAGGAGCCCCAGGGCAGGGAGGGGAGACGGAGAGAGCGCAGAAGGCCCTGCCCGCGGGTCCGTGGACACCCCGTGGTGAGCCAGGGGTGGGCAAACTTTTGACTGGAGGGCCACCATGGGTTCTTAAACTGGACCGGGGCCGGAACAAAAGCATGGATGGAGTGTTTGTGTGAACTAATATAAATTCAAAGTAAACATCCTTACATAAAAGGGTACGGTCTTTTTTTTTTAGTTTTATTCATTTCAAACGGGCCGGATGAGGCCCGCGGGCCGTAGTTTGCCCACGGCTGGTAGACCCTGGACGTGGGCAGCCAGTGTCCTGGGTGGGAGGGGCAGTCGCATGTGACCCTCTCCTACCTCCGCGGGTGACTGAAACGCTCCCGTGGGCCGGGCCGGGGAGCGGAGGGCAGGTCGGGTGGAGCCGTGGCTCCCGTCCGGGGAGGGCTCACGGCCGGTCGCTCCACCTGCAGAAGCCGAGGAGGCGAACCCGGAGGGCCTGCCCTCGGTGTGGAGCGCGCTCAGCAGCTACGAGAGCATCCGGGCGCTCGGGATCTCCGACATCAAGAACTGGAAGGTGAGGCGGGGCGGGGCCGGCGGGCGGGAACCGGTGCAGGCGTCGCCCTGTGCCGAGCTGGATGGAGGCGCTCCCCGCGGCCCAGCGGGCATCGCTCAGCGGAGCTCGGCGGAGCCTTTAGGGGGGCGCTCGGCAGCCTCTGCTCCGCTGAGGGTAGAAGGACAGGCCGCCCCCCTGTGCCCCTGAGCTCAGAGCGGGAGTGCGCGCAGGACGGAGCCGCCCTCCCCATCACACCTGCACCCTTTAAGCGCTGCAGTGACATTTGCATAACATGAAATCGAGGCCTTTCTGCCCCGAAAGCCAAAGTGCGGAGCATCAAGTCCGCGCAATGTTCTGTGACCGTCCCCCCAGGCCTCCACCTGCAAGACCTGACCCCCACCCAGGCCGCCCCTCCCCCGCCCTCCCCGTCTGGGGTGCCCTGCTTAATTCTGCCACCTGAGGGCGACAAAGGACCGGAGGTGCCGGCCTCGGTGGCAATGGCTAGAAGTCTCCGTGGCTACAGTCTCCATTCAGAGGCTGCGCTCGCCTCCCCGCTAGGCAGGAGCCACACTTGGGTGGGAGTGGGGGTGAGGGTGGGGGTGGGGGGTGGGCGTGCGGAGGAGGGGAGGGAGTCAGGAGACCTCTCAGCTCCCGTGGGTGTTTAGGGGTGTTCAGGGTGGGAGGGCACGGCCCCCAACCTTCCTCGTAACCACCCAAGACAGCCATGCGACCCCCTGGAGACAGGCGCGTCCACACAGCCCCCTGTCCTACCCCGGGGCGGGGAGTCACTTCTCCTCCCCCTGTCGCAGGACCCCTGCCAGCGAGAACTCTACGACGTTCTGGCCAAGCTGGCCCAGGAGCGGACGAAGGTGGGCGACGGCCTCTACAAGTTCTACCTGCCCAACTGCCACAGGAACGGGCTGTACCACTCCAAGCAGGTGCGCGCCTGGGGCGGGTCCCCATCCCCCAGAGCCAGCTTTCCCCGCCCCCTGCGGCTGCGCCCCGCCCCAAACACGCCCCCCACAGCCCCGATCTTTGCCCCGGGGACACCACACCAGGCGCTCCCGTCCCTCACCTGCCCCAGCCGGTGGGGCCTCGGAGCAGACAGCTGGGCGCACTCCACGCCGGGCGCACCCGCACCGCGCTGCACGCGTGTGGAATCCGCGACGCACTGGACACCTGAGCTGAAGGGCGCGGGGTGTGCCCTCGGCCGGTCCCGCAGGGGTGGTGCCCGGGGTCTGAGCCCTCAGCCTTGGGCTCTCCGTGGGGTGCGGCTCTGACCTGGCCCCCCTGTTTTACAGTGCATGGTGTCCCTGCATGGAGAGACAGGGGCCTGCTGGTGCGTGTACCCCTGGAACGGGCAGAGGATCGCGGGGTCCAAGGAGGTCATCGGCGACCCCAACTGCGATCAGTATTTCCCGAAAGCAGACGCAGCCTGACCGGCTCCTTCAGTGAAACGGTTAAGCCCCGACACACTAGCCCCGTGAGAGGGGTGAGGGGCGCTGAATACTCCACCGCTATTGCTTCTGAAGCTGTAGTCTATTTATTCACCGAGTTTATTTTTCTACACAAGAACCTGTGCTCTGGTAACTTATATACCGCCGGGAACCATCCCGCCGGGACCAACCCCCCGGGAAATGCAGTCACCCGGGAGCCTTTCTCCCTGGGACACGCAGGGCGCTCCGGGCGCCAGGGGTGCGTGTGCAGGAGCTGAGGGGGAGGTGAGGGCTGGAGACGGTCGCCAGGCGGCCAGTGGCTGCAGGAAGCCGGGTGTGGGATGCATTGTCACTCAGGCTCGCACGATGTAAACAAATAAACAGCCTACTCAGCACCTGCTCCTGCGTGGACCTCTGTGGCCCCCCCACCCCCGCGCGCCGCCCGTCCCCCTGCCAGAGTGGCTGTGGCACTGAGGTTGCCTGGCCAACAGCCCCCCAGTGTCCATCACCCCTGGGCTGGGCCGCCCTCACTTCACTCGCGGTTCCTTCCGCTAGGCAGGGGTTTCTCGCAGAGACGCCCCAGGGCTGCTCCCCACCCTCCTCCCGCCCCTCGGCCTCTGCCCCTGCGGCTGCGGGCCCCTGGCACAGCTGCGCCCAGAGCACAAGGCCTCCTGCTCCCCGATCCCTTCCTCCTCGAAGGGTTACCCGTTTGCTTTTCCTGACTCTGCCCCACCCTTAGCTGTGCCCGAGGTCTGAGCCCCCGGCGTGTATGGGGTGCAGGCCACCGATCTCACAGCCCCCAGCCTTTCCCGGGGCTCCCTCCCCTCAGACCCCATGGCTGCCAGCCCCCCTCGGCCAGGTCCCCAGGAGAGACCTGCGACTCCGTGTTCACTGTCCTGACAGACACCCGCTCACCCAGATCCTGGCACCCGACCCACCACAGGGAATGGGTCGCCTTCCTGAGGGACAAGGCGGCGTCCAGGCACCAGGGACCGATGGCACGTGAAGAAGTAGACATGCCAGGGGCACCAGGGCTCCCCCAGGCGTGTGCGCACCTGTGCCTGTGCGCGTGTCCGTGTGCACGCATGTGTGCGCAGGCGTGTTGTGGACACATGAGCGTTGCCTCTGCTCGTCCCCGAGGCTTCCCATGTTACTGACATCACATTCAGCCCGGACGTCCGAGCGCTGCTCCGGCCGGAGTCCGGCCGCTGGGCGAGAAGGCCTCTCTGGGCAGCTGCCGCCAGAGGAGCGGGTCTGAGGACATGCCCGCCGCGGCACAAGCGTCCACCTGCTGGTCGAGGCCCGGAAGGTGGTGCCTGGCACCTGTGTGGCCGGGACCCAGTGAGGGAGCAGCACCCACACTCCCGGCCGCAGTGTGGGGGGCAGGGCGGGGTGGGTGGGGGCAGGACAGCCAGGTGGCAGGCCACGCGCTCGCCGTGTGAGAGGAGGGCGCTAGGCGGCAGTGAACCGGGGTGTGACTGCAGCAGAGGCTGGGGTGAAGCGGGTGTGCAACGTGTGCCCAGGAAGGCGGACCTGGGGGCCCACAGCTCCTGCCCAGGAATCTGACCCTGGTGGGCCAGGTCCCGCCCCTGCAGTGCGCCCCCTGCTGGTCGGCCCCTCATGTCCGGCTCAGGACTTTGCAGGTCGCCCCCACCCCCACCCCCAGGCTCGCACCCAACGTGAATGAGGACGGACTTAGGTGCTTTATTAAGGACCACACTCGGGATTCCTGGAAACCAGCGTGTCCTGCGACGCCCACAGTCACAGGGTCAGAGCCCCTCCCAGCGTGTCCGGGTCTCCCTCCTCCTGCCTGTCCCTTCCCAGCCCAGCCGGCGGGGAGGGACCTGGCCACGTGTGTCCCCTGTGCTGGTCTGAGCAGGGACAGACGGGGTGGGGACAAAACCTAGGGCAGCGAGGGCCTGGGGGCACCTGCGGACCTGCCTGGCCGGGACCCAGGCCAAGACCCCCCGGAGCTCCCTGGGAAACTCCGACTGGGACGCCCGACCCTCCAAACTCGGTGGCCGCTGACACCGGCGAACGTTTTTTCACGGTAAAAACTTTATTAACCCGTTATAAATACGTGGTGAGACAGATTTCTCAAAAGGACTTTTTTTTTTTTTTTTTCTGAAAACTTGATTAAAAAAATAAAGGAAAGCGAATAGGTAGGCAGTGTCTGGGGAACCTCTGGTCCGGCCGAGGGCGGTGTGTGGCCACAGGGCCTCCTCCGGGGCAGCGCGCGGCCGTGGCCGTGGCCGACGGGGCATCTAAGACTATGCGCTCAGGTCCCATTACATTTGGGCCACGATGCAGGCAACGGTGACAGTTCACGAAGGCATTTCTCTGTGAATACGTGAGTCAGAAGGAGGGCGCGATTCTGGGATCCCCAGGCCCCTCTGGTTAGATTCAGGGCCACTCACGTGTGTTACGGCGACAAAGAGGACACATGGCGAGGGATGAACAGAACCTCCTTTGCCTCTGAGGACGTAGCCTCAAAAACTACCTCGGTCTTGGAGCTGTGAGTGGAGAACACCCTTTTCTGCCGCCATCCGTGCATCGTGCCGCTGTTGGGGGGGCCTCTGAAGACAAAGGTGTGGCCTTGTCCCCTCCTCACTCCCCCCCCGTCCCCGCCCTGTGGGGCCACAGCAAAGGCCGTGTCCCTGGGAGCCTGCCTGAGCCACCCACTTCTCCAGATGCCCAGGGTCTGAGCACCTTCTTGGTCATTAAAAAAAAAAAAAAATAAAAGCAAGACTCCACCTCATGGTCTCCACTCGTCCCCAAGCAGGACGGGTCACCTGAGGGCAGGAGCTCGCTACTGGGTGGAGGGGCTCGGGCCTCGGCTCCAGGCGGGTGTGTCCAGACACCCCAGGGCAGAGGTTGGCGTTCCCGGGAGGCCCACGTGGCAGGGGTGCTAGGGTGTGAGGTCCCCAGGGTGGCCTGAGGCCCGGCCTGTGCTTGAGTTCGGAAGGAGGTTCGAAAGAAGTGACGAGAAAAATCACAGGGTCTCCCTGGCTGCTGGGGCGTGGGAAGCCGCTCGAGCGCACTGCTTAGAAACCCAGGCATTTCAGAGGTCTCTTCCTACACGTGGATTTAAGAAAGAAATGGATTCACCAGAGAAAGATATATAATCGAGGCTGCAGCCAACGCTGATCACCGCCTTGGCAGTCTTTGGTGCGAAACCGGGGCCTGAGTCCCTCTGAACTAAAACAGAGAAAGGAACATGCTGGTTAGCTCCTCCGGCGTCAGTCCACTCCCTCCCCGGCACCAGGCGAGGCACCAGGCAGGCCACCCTGTTCGGAGAGCAAAGGGCCTGCAGGACGCTAGCAATTAAAACAATATATATTTTTATTGACTTCAGAGAGGAAGGGAGAGGGAGAGAGAGAAACATCAGTGATGAGAGAGGATCGTGGAAGGCTGCCTCCTTCACGCTCCACACTGGGGATGGAGCCCACAACCGGGGCCTGTGTCCTGCCCGGGAATCGAACCATGACCTCCTGGTTCATAGGTCGATGCTCAACCACCGGGCCACGCTGGCCGGGCTGCTTGCTATGTTCTTCCATAGTCACCCCCGGAATTAGAATTGCCTTTTCCAACTTGCAAGGAAAGCAAACACCTAAACATGAAAATTTCTTCTGTTGACTTAAATTTGTCTCGAGGAGACGAAAGGAAACGTATTTATTCCTTTTTTCCACCAATAACTCTCTCATTTAGTCAAAGAGAATATTGGATGTGATAGCATTCTTCAAAGTGATGGTTTAAAAAGTCATTGTTTGAATTAGATTTAATGAACTTTATTAAAATTCTATTAACCACAGAATATCCGTAATGTATTTTACAGGGAAAAAAAGCACAAACAGACACGTGTTTAATTTAGAAACAGGTTCTTGCTCAGCTGGTGTGGCTCAGTGGTTGGCAGTGACCTATGAACCAGGAGGTCAGGGTTCGATTGCCGGTCAGGGCCCAGGCCCAGGTTGTGGGCTGGATCCCCAGTGGGGGACCTGCAGGAGGCAGCCGATCCATGGTTCTCCCTCATCACTGATGTGTCTATCTCTCTCTCCCTCTCCCTTCCTCTCTGACATCAATAAAAAAATATATTTTAGAAACAAGTTCTTTTGAAGTTAGAGAGTTTACTGGGAAGATTAGGGCCCCGTGGGGCTTACAGGGACAGCCTCTGAGACTGACCCGTGTGCTCAGATCCTTGGCTCTTTGCAAGAAAGGTCAGCGTCTGAGACAAGGGGGCCCAGAGCCTCTGCCTGTGTGGCTGGCGGGGGGCAGGTTCCCCTCCTTCCTCAGGGAGTGTCCCAGGTCTGTCCTCCATCTGACCTGCCCTCAGCCACCCCCCTGCTTCCGATGGAGAGCCCTCAGCAGGGCCCCAGGCTTACCCGCCAGGTCACTGGCTCTCCACGCTGTCACAGTGCACGTCCGGTTTGCCCGGCGGGTCGTGCCCGGGGAGGGGCTGCCCGTACTTGTCCACACACCAGCACAAGCCGCGCTTCCTGCCCTTGGCCGGGCGGCACTGTGGGCGGAGCAGAGAAGGTGATGTGACCCCCAGGGGCTCCCAGGCCCCGTGGGGACCAGGCTGTCCCGCCCTGGATAGCGGGAAGGTGCTGGCGCGCCTGGGTCCCTTCGTGGTTAAAGGGGAGCAGGGCACTGGGGGGGGGGGGGGGGGCAGGAGGAGGGGCCCAGCTGTGGCTCCCCCTCCAGTGGGGGGGACCGAGGGCTCACCTGCTTCTTCTTATAGAAGCCCTTCTTGTCACAGTTGGGGAGCTGGATGCCCCGGGGGCTCAGCGTGCTCAGGGACTTGAGTCGGTTCAGCATGTCCTCCATCTCCCGGCGGCAGGGCCCCTGGGGGGCGTGGACTGGTTACTGTGAGGTCCCACCGCCGGGCATCCCCTGGGGGACCTGCAGTGTCTGCGGCCTGACTCAGCCATCATGGCGCCCACGGGGACACCGGCCCCACCTCTCGTGTCCCTAGATGAGGCTCGGCTCCGGGGAGTCACCGGGACACCCGGAGGCCAGGTGCACAGGAAGAGCCGGGCTCTGAGCCTTTCCGCAGCCCAGAGGCCTGGTCCCTGTTCTGGGCGCTAGGAGGACCGGCAGCTGCCCCTGGGCCTGGACAGGGTGTGGAGTGAAGAGCAACCTGGTGCCCTGGCCCCCCACCCCCGCCCCCCGGGAGGAGGCGGCGCTCACGTGTTCCGTGTCCTGCCTGCTCTCGGAGGAGAAGTTCTGGGTGACCGCGCCCTGGGCCTCGAGGTGGACCCTGTGGCGCTGGCTGTCCTTGGCGCTCCCTCTCCTGATTGCGTCCATCTTGGTGTGGCCGAGGTGGAACCTGGAGTCGGGGGCCCAGTGGGTCAGCGCCGGGCTCCCCGCGGTCACAGCGCTGAGCTCTTCCTCCGACTCACTGCCGTCTCCTGGGGGGACACGGGCGGGAGCTGAGGACCCAGCAAGGTCACGTCTCCGGGGAATCGTCACTCAACCATCCCGAGCACATTCAGGAAGAACCGCTTGAGCCCGGGGCGTGGCCCGTGGCTGAGCACCAACGCACCGACCTAGGAACCCGGAGGTCAGGGTTCGATTCCCCGTCAGGCACAGGCCCGGGCTGCGGGCTCCATCCCCAGCGTGCGGCCCACCCATGACTCCCTCTCATCACTGATGTTTCTCTCTGCCCCTCCCCTTTCCTCTCTGAAATCAATAAAAATATGTAAGAACAAGAAAACACCCGGATGGAGGACCACCCTCTGGCTAGCAGCCCTGGCACTGGCTTTGCCTCGGGATCAGAAGAGACGTGACCAGTAGGTGCCTCGATGGCGGGCGACCCCCCTCCACCAGGAGGGGCAGAGCTGACCCTGGACGGCACCCCCCCCCACCCCGGCCCTGTCCCCGCGGAGTTAGCGCGGGGTGAGGCGGCCCCGCAGGAACCCGCTCCGGCCTGAACCCTCCCCGCTCCCCAGAGCGCTTGGCTGCGCGGCTGCCCTCAGCGGCGTGGGCTGGTGTCCGGTCCCTCTGTCCCGCAGGGCCTGGCCCCAGCGGCCTCTCGGACCCGCACCCGGGGGCACTCACTCACCCATCCTGGGGGAGTCCTCCCTCCCCGCCCCCGTCATCCCCGTGGCGGAGGAGGAAAACCCGAGAGGACAGCGTGTTGGCGCGCCCCGGGGTGGGTGTCACTGCTCTGAGCACGTGCGTGGCGGGCGTGGAGCTGGCGCCTCGCTGCTCCTTCCTGGGCTGAGCAGGGCGGCCGCGGGACCAGGGCCGGTGGGGGGGGTCCCTGCTCCCGCCGGGTCCGCACAGCCAGGCAGCGGCCACATGGCCACGTCATTCCGACCAGCCGCACCCCGGACCTCCCAGGCCCTCTGGTCCCCAATCTGCTCCGCCGGGTGCCCGGCGCCCCGCTCCAGCTAACGGTTCTCCGCCGGCCCGGGAACAAGCCGGTCAGCGTGGCCGCCCGCCCACGCCGGGACGCCCGCCAAAACCTCTGGGCTCCCAGGAGCGGGGCGGGGCGCGGGGAAGGCTCCCCGGGCCGAGCGGGGAGGGGAGACCACGTGCTCCAGCTCCACCGCACCCGGCACGGAACGCCCAGCCCCAGGGAGGCCCCGCCCCCAAGTAAAGCCCCGCCCCGACGAGGACCCGCCCCTAAGGAAGCCCCGCCCAGGGTCCGCCCCAAGGAAGCCCCGCCCCAGGGAAGCCCCGCCTCCGTGGGCTCTGTCCCCACCCAGGGACCAGCCCCACGAGGGAGGGGTGCGCGGGCCCCCAGGGTCCGGCCCGGGCGGCGCACTCAGCACCGCGGAGCAGCTCTGGCTGCAGGTTGGTTTCCGGGGAAAACATTTCCCTTCCTTTCTCTTCTCGGGGGAAGCACTGGGCGCGGGACTGAGGCTGTGATGAGCTCCCGCACGTCTCCCCGGAGCGCGGAGTAACTTCCTGAGCGCCCGGGACTCGGGGAGGAGCCGGGAATCTGTCCCTTAAGCGCCCCCCCCCCCCCGGGGTTAGAAGTCACCTCTTCATACTTTTGTAACAAACGCCCCTCACACTGGTAACCAAGGCGCCAACAAGTAACTGAGAGCGTGTTGGCGAGGGCTCTCCGGCCGCTTTCTCCGTGTCCAGAGCCGCACGGGCCGAGCAGGCGCCCACGCGCGCCGGGCATTGCTTTGCCCCGAGATACAAAGGCTTCTGGGCGTTTGAACGACACAGTCCCGTCTCAGGAAACGGCGGGTTTATCTTCCCATCGATCCCGGATCCGCGGCTTCTCGGGGAGAAGCGGAGCGGCGCTGCCCAGCACGGCCACGCCTCACCCGGGGCCTCTGTGGCCGCGGGGACCACGCAGGACCGTCCCCCCCACTCCCCGAGGCTGCCCCGGGCGCCCTGCCCCGCTGGTGGCCGGGGGCGGGGGCTCCACTCTCGTCACGAAGCGAGGCTGCCGACGCTGCTTGTCAAGTGGAGGCTCAGACTGCGTCTCCCTTTCCGTCTAAGGGCCCCACGCGAGGTGCCCCTGCAGCTGCGGGCGGCCTCCCCCGCCCCCTCCACGGGACGCATCCCTCCCGCTTCAGTGTGGGCAGCACGCGGCCCTGGCTCCATCCTTCCCTCGGCCTCCTAAGCCCGCGGGTCCCCACAGGCGCAGCCCCGCTCCTGGCGCGTGTCTGCGGGCCTCACAGGCAGGGGAGCTGGGTGCACCAGGGGATGCGATGGGCAGCCGGGTCCAGCCACACCGCCCCCGTCCCTGCCTAGGGGGTAGGGAGGGACCTTGGAGACTCGCTTCCTTCCGAGGATCAGGTTGTCCGACCGCAAAAGACGCGAATTAACACCCGAGTCCCTGGCGTCTGGTTTGGAACAACCCAGAGGGGGCCCCGCTTTGCAGACCGTAAGCCTGTGCCAATGCCGCTCCTTTTAAACGCGGGTACCTCCCCCCACAACTCACCTCACCTCCGGCGTCCAAGTCCACCCCCCCACCTCCCCGCGCCCCTGCCCCTCGCGTCCGCGGGTGGACGCGCTCTCTCCTAGTTCGCGGGAACCGAGGCGCGTTCCAGGGCCCGAGCGCAGTCCACGCCCGCGTCCCCGTGCCGCGCGGCTCCCGGGCCGGGGATCCTCGGTCCGGGATCCTCCCTCGAACGCCAAACTCGGGGTCCGTTCCCCCCCGCCCCCCCACAGACTCTTGGCCCACTTTTGGCAAAAGCGCTTTGCAATTTACAAACACTTCGCACCCAGGGAACAGAGCGGCCGTGGAGGGTCCCTCCCGCGAGCGTCCTCGGGTCGCGGGGCCTGTCTCCCCACGTACGACCCTTGGGCCCGGGGGAACGAGGGCCTCTCCTCGGCGGCGCTGCCCATCGCTGACGCCGGGCTGCCGGTGCCGCCCCCTCGGAGCCGGAGGGCGCACTAGGCGCGGGCGGCTCACCTGGCGCGGGCGGGGCCTGGGGGTGCGGGCGGCCGGCGGCGTTGGCGTTGGCACAGAACCCGCGGCCCTCCAGCAGCGCCTGCAGCGGGCGCGCCTCGCCGGGCGGCGGCTGGCAGCGGAGGCCGGAGCCGCAGCGCTCGCTGTAGACGCCGCACGGCTGGCCCTCGCGCAGCGCGCACGTGAGGCAGCAGCCGCAGCCCGGCTCGCGCACCAGCTCGGCGCAGCCGGCGGGCGGGGGCGCGCACTGGGCCTGAGCGCGTGCGTCGCAGGGTTCGCAGCTCACGACGGGGCCCGCGCCCGCCGCTCCGGCACCAGCCTGCGCCGCGGGCAGCCCGAGGAGCAGCCCCAGAGCGGCCAGCGCGGCGGCCAAGAGCACGGGGCGCGGCGGCTGCATGGCGCCCACGGCGGGGGTCCGCGGCTCAGCCAGGTCTGCTGCTCGGCGCGGGCACGGGGAGCGGCGGTCGGCGCGGGCTGCGGGAGCGGAGGAGCTGGGAGCGGAGCGGTCAGACTTCAGCGCAGCACCGCCAGGCTCGCATCTGGCTGCCCAGGCGCGCCGGCCGCTATATAGAAGCCCAAGCGGCCGAGGACACGCCCCGGAACGGCGCGCGAGGGTGGGGGGAGACGGGGGCGGGCAGGCGCAGGCCGGGCTCCAGGGTCCCGTCCGTCGCTCGGGGCAGCGAGGCAGGGCACCGGGTGCGCAGCGCGCGGCCGTCCGAGCACCTGCTCCACGTGGGCACGCCCGGCGCCCCGCCACCGCGCGCTCCCCGAACCCCCGCGCTCCCATCCCCCACCCCTCCGCTGCCTCTGGCCACCCCAGCGTCCCCGCCTCCGCCCCCTGGGCTCTCCGCTGCCCTTCTCGGTCTGCGTCCCAGGGTGTGGTCGCCCGCGAACCGGTGTCGGAGAGACTGCGGTGCGCTGCCCGTCACCTGGTGCACTTTGCATAGTTTCCCAAAATTCAAGTCCTGAGGTCGGGGATTCGTGAGGCGCTTCTGAACCGGCCCATCCGACCAGCGTCGGGTCTGGGGAGCGAAGAGAAGGGTTTCATTCGCACCCGCTGGGCCACTCGCACCCCCCGCATCTGGCCCCATAAACGCGCATCTGCAGGTGCGCACGTGGCCTCTGCCCTTTCAGGGTCACTCCTCAAAGCGGGAAGGCCCATGGGCTCTCTCCCCGGAGTCCCTGCTGGGGCCCGCGTGGAGCGGTCCTGGCAGGGCTTGTCGGAGATTTAGCCTGTTTTAGGTATTTTCCCTGAGGCTGGTTTCAGACACAGCCTCCATCCACAACTAAGGAATAAAATAGTCACGCGGGCACTGCCGACGTGTCATTAACACCAGGTAGTCCTTAGAGTGGGGTTTCCACAATCATTTCCCGGCCGCTTGGTGGCCCTGCAGTGGGTTCTCTCTGGCGCACTGCGTTGGAGACATAGGGGTCCCCAGTTCCGTGCCATCCGCACACGGCGCGGGCGGGCGGGGGGTGGGGGGCGGCACAAGTCCGGGGCGCACTCTGCCCTGAGGATGGGAGAACCGCGTCCGCCGGCTCCCAGCGGGTCTTTTCCGCGCGCGCTCTGCGCGACGCTTCTCCAGGCGACCCACAGACGGCGCTCGCGGTCCAGGGTCCAGTCGGCAATGACACTTCCCAAGAGCTTGCGGGTCAGCAGCCCCGGGAACCCACGGGGCCAGGGGAACGGACCTCCCCGCTCGCCGCTGCGGCTGGGCGCGTGCTCGGCGGTGCGGGGCGCAGGTGCCTGGCGCAGCCTCGTGCCGGTTGCGGCAGTAACAGCAAGTCTGTGCCCCCGCCACCCGCCAGCCCACCTGCAGCCGCGGGGCGGACATCGTCCTTGTCCCCTCTTCCCTCTCTGTGTGTGTGTGTGTGTGTGCACCCCCGGCTCCCCGCCCCCCAGACCGGAAAGACCAGTGTTCTCACAGCAACACATAAACAATGCAGAAACGGTAGTAATGGCCCCCGGCTCCACCAGGAAGAGAGCGCAAAGGGGGCGGTGCCGCGGCCGCAGAGCGCACCCCCCTCCCTGAGGGCCCAGCGCTGGGCCAGGCGCCCCTATTCGCCGGGACCCTGCGCTGGCCGCCCTGGCTGCCCCGCTGCCCCGCCGCCCGTGCCCTCCTGTAGCTGGTGTTATCTGCTTTGGGCCAAGAACAGGGCCTCCGATTTCATTGGGAAACTAAAGGAAACAAGGAATCCTCCAGGGTCACATTTATTCCCGAAATAGCCGCGGAGGCTTGACTCTGAAATCAGAGCCGGGATCTGTCTCCAAAGATTCCCGAGGTCGCAGGCCCACTTCCCTTCAGTACAGTGTTCTGCGGGGCCTGCTGGCCACTGGTTAGTGTGGCCGGGTTTCTGGGAATGGTCATCTGAGTAGCGGACAGGGGAACCCGGGACAATGTCTAAGGCCTTCCCCTTGGTCCTCTCAGCCCCCAGCCAGGGCCTTGCTGGGAGAGAAGGCCCCTCCAGGCCCTAGGGGGTGACCACGAGTCCGATGCCCCCAGGGAAAACCGATGGCTACATTGTAACGCTCAGGACTATCCCATAGCAACAACCTATTATAGACTCTCATGGTCTTTTTTTGTGAAATCCTATAACAGCAAAGTAATGCTGGGGCGGTGACACGGGGAGAACTCTCTCTCTATAAAAGCCTAATATGCAAATCGTCCCCTCCGGAGCTTGACCAGGAGACCGAGAGTTTCATTGCTCACTTGATGTGCACTGACCACCAGGGGGGCAGCGTGGTACGAAGGAAGGTCCCGGCTGGCAGCCGGAAGGCCCTGATCGGCCCTGACCACCGGCCAGGCCTAGGGACCTGATCTGTGCATGAATCCTGTGCACCGGGCCTCCAGTATGTCGATATGTAGTCATTTTTTATTTGACAAAACTGCCAGGAAAGAACTCCAGAACGTCATTATTGCAGGGAGGAATTGAATGGGCTAAAACTTAATGTTGCGACACGCTGGTTCCCTTGGTCAGACTTTTGATGAGTCTGGGGTTCGTGTTTAGTAACAGGAACTGGAGTGGGGGTGGGGAAGGAGTTTCCCCCTGTTGAAGGTACATGGTATACAACTGCTTAGTAATTGTGAGGTGACACACACGTCGGAAACACTGCCCCTCACCAAGCCGGGTGGCGGGATTATGACCCAAGTCCAGCCCCACTTCCAAAGGCCCCCCGCCCCCCACTCTGCAGTCCTGAGTGAACATTGGGGGAGCTGACCGGTCTCCCTTGCCGGTCAACAACACCCAGACCTTTCCCCTGTGAGAGGCCCTCTCTTCGGAGAATTGCTGGACAGCTGGCGTCTCATAAAATAAAAATGAGTTACGTGCCAAGGAAGCTGGAAAGTCCAATGTACTGAGAAATATCATGACCCAGTAAGAAAATCTAAAAAAAATATTTTTCTTAGCTTCTTGAGTCATGGAGTTTAGCTGGGATATTAAACAGCCAAAATTAAAGTCTGCTGTTAGTGTCACTTAACAAAAAGTAAATCAAAACTCTGCCCTCGTTATTAAGTAATGATTTGATGTTTTTTCCAAAGAGCATTCTGTTTTCAGGAAAAAAGGAGTCCAACCAGCTTGATTAGGTGAGTCCCGGGCCCACCCAGCCCCTCCACCCAGTGCCTCCTCCCCCGGGCAGGGCAGCTTCCACGTGGGAGCCTGGCGACTTCACAGGAGCCTGCACAGGCCGCAGAACGCCTGGTGGTCCTCCCAGACCCCGGGGCCCACCACAAGCCCCTGGGAAGCTGCCACGTCTCAGGCACTCCCCCGGGGGGCGGGGGGCGGGGAGAGGCTGTTCCAGGTTCTGAGGGTGCCAGGCCTCCCCCCACCTCCTGCTCAGGGACCTGGGAAGCTGGCTGTCTGGCAGCTCTTCCTCCACCATCATTGCCGTTGCCTGTAGTAAACTGAACCCCAGGGGACCTGGCTGTTTCCCTGTCTGCTGAGTCATCCAGGCCAGCCCTACTGTGTGCTCACCACCCTCCCCCCTCCTCCCTCAGAAAATGAGGGGCTGCGTTCAGGGGGCTCATGGTACAGCCCTCAGGAGGCCACAGCCCAGGAGCGCGCGGGTCCTGTGTGGATCTGCTTTTCCGGGTTCTGCGAGCCCTCCCCCCCCCCCCCCCCCCCCCCGCATCGCGGTTTGAAGAACCCCGTCTCCCAGGTCTCGGCACCGACCGAGTCGGTCCGGAAGGCAGCCTGGACGTCAGGAGTGGCCCCTGGAGTGAAGCCGGAACAGAAGCCACAAAACTGTGTGGAAAGAGAGGCCCGTCCCCTGGATCCAGCTGATCCTGAAGTCCATGCTGAGCACGAAGCACGGCCTGCGTTTGTCAGCGTGGGTGGGATTTGGAGGAGGCCTGATGAGCCCAGGGCTCCCGAGACATCGCAGAAAGGCCAGCACGCCCCCCTCCCCCCCGCCGCCACTGGCGACTGTGACAGGGCAGTGGAGTGAAGTCCAATCTAGGAGAACAGGGTGGCCCTGGCTGGTGTGGCTCAGTGGATAGAGTGTCGGCCTGTGGACTGAAGGGTCCAGGGTTCCATTTGGGTCAAGGGCACATGCCTGGGTGTGGGCTTGATCCCAATGTGGGGCGTGTAGGAGGCAGCTGATCAATGATTCTCTCTCATCACTGATGTTTCTCTCTCTCCCTCTCCCTTCCTCTCTCTATAAAAACCAATAAAGACATTAAGAATATATATCAGAACAAACACCTCCAAATTCTGGGTCCCACATGAGACTTACTCCCACGGGGGCAGGAGTGGGGGTTGGGTGTGTGTTTCATGAAAGAAGCAGCTCTTAGAGTTAGACTCTGGGGTCAGAGCACATGGCCTTTTAACTCACCGGCCTGAACCCTGCGCCCCCCCCAGCCCCCCTGCCCCAGCTCCATGGCCGTTGGGGGAAGTTGGCCGTGTTCCCCTGTGCCTCTCGGTGCAGAGGGGCCGTGCAGACCTGGCTCCTGGGTAGTTATGGTCTGTGTCTGTGTCCGTGTCTGTGTCTGTGTCATGCCTGCGTCTGCTCGCGGCTCCCCCAGGGGCTGGCCGGGGCTTTGTCTCACTGGCCCTAGAAGTTTCTCAGGCCTGGAGCGGCCTCCCGGGTGGCATTTGTCAGAAAGCACTGAAAGCCATGTCCCGGGCAGCTGCCTGGGATGAGGGATGACAGGGTAGGGGGTGGGGGCGGGGGAGGGCCGGCAGCGGACAGACCGGAGGCTCAGCGGCAGCCTGTCGGCGAGGGAATAGAGCCTCGAGGAAGTCCTGGTCCACGGGCGCCGGGGTGGCTGCGGGCTCGGAAAGGGCGGCGGAGCCCCGCTCTCGGCCTGGCTGACCTCTGGGCTCCGCTCGAGCTGCCGGCGGCCCAGCCGAGCGGGGAGCGTGCCCAGCGCACGGCCAGCCCGCAGAGGCCGGTCGCGAGTTTGTTACGTGGGCTTTGGGCAGGTCAGGAGTCTGTGACGTCGCCAGGCCACCATGGAGCCCACAGAACAGAGACTCAGCGCGCACACGGCAAAGCATAGTCTTTGCAGAAAAGAGCTGAGAAGAGTCACAAAGCCA